CCAACAACCTTGTTTATAAACTTTGGAAAACTACGGAGCAAATGGAACTTCCATCATATATTCCCAAAATGGTTAAATAGATAGTGGGGAAAATCGAATAAAAAATTGAAATCAGTCCTGCTAATAGGAATTTAGTGATGCTAATACAATTAGAATGGAAATATGAAAGACAGGATTAAGTTTAAGACTATAAAAACATATTTTAGAGTAGTATACATCAAAACGCAGTTTCATTGCGAAATCCGGCATCTTTTTTCATATAGAATAATTCAAGTGAAGAAATTTATACTTTCATTAGCGAGGTTAATTCCAAAGATAATAGTTTACTTCAGAAGTGTAAAGTGGAATTGTCGAGATGACATTTTAAAGCAATTCTTCGCGATGTAAAAGAGGAAACGAACGTGTAGCTTTTATTCAGCAATTCAACAAATTACATACCAGCTTAAATCGCGAAGGGAGTAAAATTGAAGAGTCGCGTAAAACCTAGCTGGCATTGATATGGGAACTGAAGAATGATAATGCTTCATGAATAATGTCGGAAACTAACTAATACATAAAGATAGCAGACTCGGAATTTTACAGAATTTTTCCAGTGGTCATTTTGATGTGATTAATAACCAATCGTTTTTCTGCTTTATTTTGAATACTTTACATTACTTTATCGGTATTTCGACTTTTTCGTTAAGAGTATTTACGGACTCGACTTGTCTACTGGCACAAGTGTTTTGGCTGACAGCAAATGGCTTGAAGAAGAGATTAGGGAAACAGCGAGGGATGACTGCATGACCGTAGCCACCTGCGACACATACCTAACAAATTTCCGTACATATATGCTCAGAATCGCAATATAATCTTGGATCAGTCAAGCAGATACTTATTTGGGAGTTCAGGCATGCATATATAAAACATATATAAGATTATTCGCCATGCACTTGGCGTGCATACTTAGGATAGTATATAGACGGACAATGTGCGAGCAGCATATACGCAGTAACTGAGGTGATGATACGCAGTAACTGAGGTGATGATGTATCGCAGTAACTTAGGTGATGATAAATGTATGACACAGTTAAGTTTGAACAACGAACACACAAACGATTGTGCAACCTACAAGTTAGTGAGTCCCTTCTATGCTCTGAAACTGAAGCCTGGATGAAAATTGTAATAAGAGTTTCATACAATTGAATCGGACGAGATCGTATGATCCCGAAAAAGAAAAATCCTAAAACTTCAATAACCTCAACATTGCACCAACGGAACAATGGTCGAACGGTTTTCTCTTCTACGACATATTCTAATGATTTATGTACCTTCCCCAGATCAAGAACCAAAATAGGAAGCCATGCACTATTACTATTGGACATGACAGCGATGTTTACATTGGTGGTTGAGTACACTTATGGAAATGTGAAACTTTGTCGAAAAAACGATGCGCTTTTTACTGCTATGTGGGTCGTTTTGACCCATTTTTGGCCCGGCAAAAGAGTGCATCATCGCTACATCCACTCTCTGCTCGTGCAGTGGGCGAGAAAGTGCGTCAATATTTGGAGATCATGACCCATTCAATTTACTGAGTGATACGTTGCACCCGATGAGGGTGGCCCAGTGGTCACTGCTCTCGCTCATTGTACAGCGAAGACAGTTGCTCGGATCCTGTTTTGCTTGAGCGTTGCGATGTGGAGCAATGACACTAGCCTGTCCAGACAAGAAGCTGCCACCACACTCATATCTTGCCCAGAATAATAGCCTTTTTTAGACCAATTGATCGATGCTCTTATCTTTCGAAGCGCTCAAAATGAGGCTAGCTGCAGGCTCCAAATATGCCTGCCGAATAAAAGCATTGAACGTATTGAAGAATATTGGTATTGTTAGGTAAAAGTAGTTCTTTATTTGCACGTTTGGTTGAAGCCCCGAGTGTTTTTCTATGTGACAGTTTTTTTATTACCAATAAAAAATAAACTTTAAGACCTGAAAGAAACAGTCGTTGGTCTGCAAGGAAACTTGCATTAAAGAAGTGAAGAATGATGTGTAATTGTTTCTTAATTCAATGAGGATTTAAGTTTAGTTAGGATTTATTTCCTTGAGAAAATTAGTCATGCAAGATAATTCTGGATTAGCAATTAAGCTATAATAAAATATTCTGCATCAGAGAACCGCGAAGCACTGTCAGAAATATGGATTACCAATAATTTTTGTATTATAATATTATGATGTATAATAACCTATTTTACTAGATATTTGGACGACTTCATTAATAATAACCAAGTAATTTCTTAAGCTCATTCACAAAAATTGAAGATGCTTTATTGTGGAATACGAAAAATACAAAAAATATATTTTCATTTCGGTATGAATTCAGCTGCAATAATAAATTTTCCTTCGATTTTAAATGCAAAATTAATTTTTTAAAACTATTAATAGAAAAATAATTTCTGGATTAAAAAATGAATTCCTAGGCGATCCTGAAAACATTCCAGTTATTCAAGGGACAATTAAGTTTCGATTGCAAAACAGCTAATGCATGGAACCAATTAAGTATGTATGCACTTCATAAGAGGCCTGCACAATAAATAAGTTAACGAACACATGCTTCCATTGACCCATTGTAGAAAGAGTAACTAATGGATAGAATGGCAAATGACTGCATAATATAACTGCCACTCAGAGCACTGAGTGAGACATTATCCAAATATCGAGGCACTTTTTGCCGTTGTGTGAGTCCTCCTAACCCAGTTTGGTCGTATCTTTGCGACGTCCGCTCTTTGTTGACGTGAGTGAGAAATTGTGTCACTATTTTTTAATATGATCCAATAATATCTCTGGGTGTCAACCCTAAATAAGAGCTCACAATAAGGCCAAGCTTTGTGAGCTTCTTTTGTGACAATTTTCCATGTGCTACGCTTGAGAACATTTTGAATGAAAATTTTAGACAATACTCATGCAGAATCAATGAATCTAAATTTCAGTTTATGTTCATATTTATTAATTTCCATATATTGTGAGAAGAATGTCTCTAATTTCGGTTCAATAGATCCGAAAGCATATATATTCATGTCTACCTTTTTTATGTTGTAACTGATAGAAATCACAGTATTAACATACAGGTAATCAATAACAGATTCTTTGCTTTTAATACAAAGGGAAATTCATCCACGTGCATTTTTTTCTCGTTGCCTCCATGATTTATAAGATTTTATATTTGTTTCATTTGTAAACCAATATAAATTTATTAGTCCTTTTAGTCATTTGTTTTATAGCACGCAGAATAACTTGAAATAATACATTAAAATCTATCTATTCACAACGTTTTTAAAATGTTTGTTTTTTGCATCTGGCAAATTTTTTTAACACACAATGAACTTCGGATTGCCACAAGTTGGTAAAAAATACTTAAGGATTTATTTGTTTTCAATTAATTCTATTATTTTGCAGTTAGTTAAGATATACTTACAAACGCAGCATGAGTGCATAATTTTTACAGCATAGTTAACGCTAAATTATGTGCAAATGATAAATTATTTAAGTCTAAGTGAGTTATAGATGACGTTAAACTCTCTACAGCGCGTCGCTCGATCAGCTCAGCTGACAGCGTCCGTGGTTCGTTGTACTCAGAAAAATTGTGGAAATTTGTCCAAATGGCGATGCACTTCTTACGCTTGTGTGGACCGTCCCGAAGCAGTTTTGCTCAGATAAGAGACCTGTCAGTACTACATGCGGAAAGTCATTACTTGGACAATAAGATCCGCTTGTTTTTCTGTGCGTATTTTTCATCCCTTAAAAAAAGCGTAAAATTGGAAACAATTCGGAAATCTATGTTTGTTACAGTTATCCATATCAATGCAATTTTGTTTAAGGAATTCCAGGCTCGTTTATGTTCCAGCTAATTCGAAGAAGACTTCTCATGGATTAATGTAAAAAGCCATGTAAATGCATTTTACCGATAACGTCTGCTCATTGTGAAAATACGAACGTCTGTCTCGAACAGAGAGACACGCTCACAAATTCGAGATTACGTTCTTAAACATGAATTAGTGAACAACATAACTTGAGATGTTTCAAGTATTGTATGCAATATTTGCTTTACTTTTTGAAAGCACCGACGACAGCCAATATTCAAGACAGTTATTTCACGAATGAAGCCCGCATGCAATACTATCGCCTGCCATTTTACGAAAAACTTAAATACCTGCTGCTCACCCGAAAGACATCACAATCGACAAATTAATTAGGGTAGCTTGGATTAGTGGCGGTGGTGATTGCAACTTGCACAGCTGAAGTAAGGACAACTCACTGCACTTGGGTGCTACCGTAGCTGATAAAAGATACATACCGAACAAACTTCCGTACATATATGCTTAATATCGCAATAGAAGCTTGGATCAAATACTCGCCAAAGGAACGACCAGCAAGAGAGTGAGAACTTCAAATATGGTCGGGAATCCAGCATAGGTCATTTGGGGTCGCAGAAAGAATAGGGTCACGGAGAAGCGAACTCTTCATTCCTGCTTGCAGCAACAGCACACGCGTGCCAGACGCGCGAACTGCCAAGAGATTATGCCGGACCGCTAAATCGAAAGCTGATAAGTTTGGCCTTATTTTGCTTTTTGTGATTTTTATCAATAATTCATGAGGTATGGGACGTAAGTTTGAAGTAAAACCCGTAAATAAGCTTGCATTTTTGTGTGTATGTAATTTGTAATACACAAAATTCTTAATAGCTTTTACATTTCAAGTCAGAAAGTCAAGGTTATGACTATGTTATACGCTTAATATTTACTGCATAATTTTCCAGATTTAGGCTCATTATACAGGCATTCGCAAGGGCTGAACTTATGACGTGATGTGGAGAATATTTTATTTGCCCTTTTTATGGTGGAAGCTCCTTTTGTAGTAGGAGGTTAATAGCGAATTACGTCGTGTAAACGCAATAATCGTAATGCTGCGTATTCCTAGAAATAGGTTACGCCTCGTTTTCATTCCAGGTGTGCTGAAGGAACCGTTGCAGTTAGCCCGCCTCAGGTTACTCCGTTCCTTCTGACAGTTCCAATGCTTGCATGGAAGGCGCTTCTTCACAAAGCAACAAGTTCTCGTCCCTTGTGCGAACGCCTGTCATGCCGAGACGGACAATATGACGAAGACTAATACTCTAGTAGGCAAAGTAGGTCGGCTGAACTAGAGCAGAATTCTTAATGTCCAAGGAACTACGATCTGATCATCTGCCTGAAGGCAATAAGTAAATACGTGGTAATTGTGTGTGAAGAGCACTGGCGTTGTCTGACGGAGTGGGAGGAGCCAGACGGCGTTCGTGGCCTCGGGCACCTCGCTGGATGTGAGAGGCTTCCTCCGCTAGGGTTGCTCAGTGGAATTTTTGTCCGTCATGTGGTAGGTTGTCTGTCGCTACCATCTGTTTTGATATTGTGCTCGTTGTACGTGTGCCATTCTATAATTTTGCTTCCATTTTCCTCAAGGTTAAAAAGTCCTTGTGAAGTGTACATAATGTGATTCGTTTGTTTTTCACGTGCTAAAGTGTACAGGCACCAATATAAGAAATCAAATTCATCCAAAAGTGTTTGATATGGAAGGAGCTTTGGCAGTTTAAGATGGCGAGAACTTCTAGGGCTGGGAGACTAAGCTGGGTAGCGGCGGCGGAGTTTTCGCTTCGCTGAAACTGCCGTCGTGGATGCACGATGAAGCCCAAAGCGTGGGCGTTGTGGGTGCTGCAATGGATGATGATATCCAGGGTGATGGGAGCCTCCGTTGGGGCGGCCATCGACACTCCCGATGACTGCCAGATGACAGGTGCTGGAGGCGATAAAGTTAGCCTCATCTGTCGCCTAAGGACTATCAACAGTGAACTAGATACGACCAACTTCAGTGTCATCCCAGCAAGAGTTACCATCAGCCTCGAGGTCGAATGTAGCGATGTCCTATTTTTCCAGAGCGCTCTTAGAAACAAGAGTTTCGTGCAGCTCACCAGATTACGACAACTTCAGATAGAATATTGCAAAATCGGAGAAGTTCCTCGTGATGCTTTCGCTGGACTCGGTAATCTTCAGAATTTAACTTTGAAAACCTTCAACACCGACTGGTCAGCTATGACTCTCTCAATTGCGCCAGACGCGTTTTACCATCAGACAGTTCTAGAAAATTTAGATCTTGGTGACAATAATATTTGGACTCTCCCACCCAGATTATTTTGTGGTCTTGGAAATCTGACTATGCTCAATTTGTCTCGCAATAGACTTCAGGATATTAACGACCTTAGTTTCAACAACGCAATCAAAAAATGTGCACCACGACTGAGGCAACTGGATCTTTCTTTCAATCACTTTAATGTTGTGCCCCCGTTCGCATTTTCTGCCTTAAAAAATTTGACATCGTTAAATTTGAGTCTCAACGGAATCCAAGATCTTGCTGATCAAGCTTTATTTGGCATGTACTCTCTGGAAGTCCTTGACATTTCAGGCAACTTGCTCAGCACCCTTCCGCCCGAACTTTTCAAAGAAAATAAACGCCTTACCAAGCTTTATGCAAGGAATAATTCCATAACAGTCTTAGCTCCTGGACTTTTTACCGGTCTCTACATGCTACTTGAGCTCAATCTTGCTGATAATGACCTCACTAACACTTGGGTGAACTCGGAGACCTTCATGGATCTTCTGCGACTAGCAAGCCTGGATCTCTCCCACAATAAAATCAGTCGTCTCGACGCCGCGACGTTCAGGGATCTCACCAACTTGCAGGTATGGACTTTTGCTTAACTTAAACTCGTATTTAAGTGCGTATTTTTAATACTTAGTGTGGCCATACTTCCATTTATTAACTTCATGCATGCAATAAGGAGATCATTATAGTTCGCTAGGAACGAGCAGCCGGCCGCTAGGACGTTCGTGTACACAGGAACTTTAATTATGCTTGTATCAGAAATTATTTATGACATAGGAAATCATCACAATATTGATTGTTCACTCTCCGCATTGTCAAAATGTGGTTAGTTGGAATACATTATCCAACGATTTTGTAACATTCTGGACTTCACGAAAGTTTTCTCCCCCCACGGCCGCTCAAGAGAAATGAGTTTGCGATCAGCGTAAAACTTTGGAATAATTTTCGAACTTCTGAATGAAATTGTGTTCAGAGTTTAGTCTTGAATTAATATTAATTATTATATCATTAGTCTGCCTTGCTATGGTTCACTCTATTGTCTTAATTAGAAACTATTCTTTAAATTTATATACCTTTTCGATGAAGATGACTTAGTTAAGCGTTCTCTTCGCAATTAAATTAGTGGCAAATTAGTTCTAGGTGTTCGGTCGATAAGTTTATAATTTACTTTAGCTCCAATGATGCCAGGAAAGTTAATGAAATTCGCTTTGATAATCATTGAAATTAATTGTCCTTTCATCCTGTTTTTAGCTGCAAATCTGAGATGTAACCATAATCGTGGGCAAACCAGGAATAAAAAAAGAAAAACTTTCTCTATTTTATAAATTCGCGTCAGCGGCGTAAAATGCTTCAAGATTGAAACCTCAATTGTTACTTAGATGTAAACTGTAAAGTATGCCAACGAAAGATGGATGATTTTTGAACGATGGTGGTTAATATGACAAAAATAAAGTTTTAAACTTTTTATTGAAGTTTCACAGGTATGATGTTCTATGTTCCATTATCACGAAGCAACCATCCTGTCTCCAAATCTTTCGATAAGAAACATTTTTGTGGGTTGGATTAATTTAGTAATTCAATGTTGCCCTAATTCTGGATCCCTGTGACAATTGAAGGCAATTAATCGTGAGAATGATTAACCCGTTGACGATGATAGACGAACCTTTGCAGACGAATAGTTTCGATTAATAATATTGATGTTGCAATTTTCCTGCTATAAATGATAGACTGTTGATTGTTACTGTCACAACTTTTATCGATAGGCAGTGTTTGAATAAATTCCATCCCCTCGTACCTTGGTTTAGGGTAATTCAGGAAGCGAACATGCTTTCCCTATCGAAGACGATATTTTTTTGGACATTTCTTACCTTTCTAGTTCATATTCGATAAATGATTATTTTAAAGTATTATGTTATCTTGATTTGAATAATGCTAAAAGTTAAAATCCATTGTATCTGCCTTGCATACATTTCAATTTCGTAGTTCTATTACATAGTCTTGATAGAGATATTTTCTCTCTAATGTTGATCAATGGCCACTGTTGATTCGTCATGTTATCAGTAATATTTTTTTTCAGTGAGCGAATAAAAATGTTATGTATTAAGCATATTTTTTCAGAAATATTATTAAATCTTACAGAATTCGTAATTAATGGATTCTTTGAACGTACGTGTTACTTGTACTCTTGCCGTCGATTATATGCGGTGTTGTTAGTTCAAAATTCACATCGAAAATGTTCCTCGATATACGTTTAATTTTATTCACTATATAATCATCGGTTACTACTACGTAGCCTGTATATTTTACTTGGTCAATTACCGGTTATTTAGCTTTATTTTTATGCGAGACATTTCTACCTGCTTTTCAGAAGCCGGTTCTGCGTGCTAATGCTCTTTATTTAACGAGAAATAACCCAGCGACCATGGACTCTAAAAACCACCGTTTCCATTAGCTAATCATGAGTTTAACTTAACGAGCTTGGCGTTCATTTGGTTCTGTGGTAGAACCTTCCTTAACTATCTTATGGCATCAACCTCGAAAAGGTTAGGTTAATATTTGCGTACGGGTTTCGGTCTCTTGGGTAAATTTTTTTGACAAAAATCATGTGCACACCACTGCACGCTTGCCATAAAAAGTGTCGGGACTGGGAAGAAAAATTAAAGTGATGTATTGTTGACTTTCTTTTTTATTTCTAATTTAAATATCACATTCTGAGAAACTTTGCATCCAGTTTGAGCATATAATAACGTTAGTTTAATTTGGCTGTCATTTGCTTTTTAGTTTATGTATATATACTTGCATCGTTAATTGGGATCATCAAAGTTAGTTAGCTGGTTAACAGCATGAAGTATTAAAATTATTATTACTACTGATTTATTATTTCACTTAAGAGAATATTTATGCAAGCTCCTGAATATATTCTCTGTATCCTAGTTGTTCAGTTGCTCCTTTGACTATGAAGCGATTAATTAAGTAGTTAGAATTAATAATGATATGCGTGTGTCCCTGTAATCTCTGCTCACTACTAGGAACTTACGCTTCTTTGCAAAATAAAATGAGAGCTTATATTACCAGAATATGAAATAATTTTTTTCTAAGAATGGAAGAAGGAAGGACGCCCGACTATCAAGAACGAGGTATGGCGGGTGTGGCAAATTCTATGAAAAAAAAAACGCCGAGATCGAAGTTTTCCCGTCAGACCGTCACGGAAATCGATGATAGGTGACGTGCTGTTACGTTCGGTATTTGAAAATTCACTGTTGACGTATTCTTGAGACTCGGCTATGGTTACAATATACGTGGTAGGCTCAGCAAAACAAAGAGTGGACGCTGTCTTCTCTGCCTTACGCTACACACGAAAGTGGTAATCCATGTCTCCGTGTCACGCTGGTCTCCAGAAAATTATTTCATCATAGAATAATCGCCATTTTATTAGAACTTGTCGGGGTCCATGGTGGAAATAAAAGAGCATTTTTTTTATCATGCCGTAGCAGAACGATTTTTCGTGAAACGTGCTCGCAGTTATTACCGCACAAGGACATCACTTTTGTACTCACAGTTATTGTCGCACAAGGACATCACTTTTGTGCTCGCAGTTATTACCGAACAAGGACATCACTTTTGTGCTCGCAGTTATTACCGAACAAGGACATCACTTTTGTGCTCGCAGTTATTACCGAACGAGGACATCACTTTTGTACTCACAGTTATTGTCGCACAAGGACATCACTCTTGTGCTCGCAGTTATTACAGCACAAGGACATCGCTTTTGTGCTCGCAGTTATTACAGCACAAGGACATCGCTTTTGTGCTCGCAGTTATTACCGCACAAGGATATTTTTGCGAAATGTTTTTGTGTATGCTGTAATTATTGCTTTTTAACCGTCCGCCTTCTGCTGTCGTTGACCCCACCTCTGCATAAACCCTCGTAGGCTACGTGCATATGGACGGTGCAGCGGACGTGTTGTTAATTAACCGCCGCTTCTGCATTTGGTAAAGCCCAAGGCATTTCTGAACAGCGAGCAACGACTCAAAGTCCAATTCACATGCTTTTATAACTTAATTCTGTCGTGAATTCTGCGAATTTGAGGATTCTTTCGCCTTGATGAGTTTCAAATTCACAATGTTAGTGAATTTTTTTATGTTTTTGAGTAGCTTAAGATTGATTCTACATTTAATGCTTTTTCTAGTTTTTATGCTCTCAAGCAATAATTGTTTGTTTCCATGTAAATACTTCTTTTCTTCCAATAACAAATCCGTAGCTCTACAAGTTGTGCCGTTGAAGTCTTCACCTAAGCTTCAAGTACGAGAGGAAGTAATAGCCCTTTCAATAGCATTCCGTATTCTGTGTTATTGCTACATTATTGCTATTCAAAGTTGGATTCTTTTGGCGTATCTCGCCAGAAATTACGAGCTTATTTTCACGCAACACAACCATTTTTGGAGACCCAGGCGTCACGGCGGGAACGTGGTTTCCCACGGACGCATGCGTGGTGCCGACTTATTGGAGTTTCGTGGACCGAAATGTCACCTGAGCTTGCCGTTTCCAGTCGCTTTTCTTGAATAAACTTACGGAAAAACAAGGCATCAACGGTTTCGCTTGGAACGTACGTTACTACAATGTTTCAGACTCTTGTGTTACCTAATGTTTCATTTGTAGTTCGAAAAAAAGTAGAATGTGATGGAAAATTTATTTATTTGTTCAGCACGCTATGCAATGTGTGCCTGAGCTCTATATTATGATTTGGCATTATAAAAAATCATCTTAAGGCATGTTCGATCCTTCTTAGTCAGTTCAATAAGTTAAATTTGGGGGCGAATTATGTTAATAAAAAAAAGCTTTCAAATTTGTTACATAGGTATTATCTTAATTTTAAGTTGTGCTGTTTAGGTTGACTAAATTGTAGGTGTTGTATTCAAGTCGGTTTAGTTTTAGGTTGTTTAGTTTAGGCAGATCTTATTGCAGGTCATTTTGTGTAAGTTTTATTGCAGGCTATTTGTTTTAGTTGTAAACAAATCGCCATGCCGAAAACTGTTTCTATGCTCTTTCATTGTGTTTGGCTTCTACGACCTACATGATGACATGCAAATTTGCGAAGTGTTACTCGGCAGCATTAAAGTCTGTAAAAGCCTGTCTCTAGAGTGGGTAGCAAGAAACATACCGGTAGCGATCAAAACCATTATTCCGTTCCTTGCCCATTTCTCTGTTACCTCATTGAGTCGTTTATTGAAGGGCCTTAGTTTTCAAATCGTATAACGCTATTTCCTCATTCAAATCGCGGTGAAGGACTGGAGTGGATAATAATTCGCCTTTTGGTATCGCATCTGAATAATGTCCAAAATTTTTTTAGTTTTTTAATGCTATAGTTGAATGACAATTCGGTACAAGTTTAATCAGATGAGGGTTAACTTCTGATAGGGTTATCGGTTTGGTTAACTAATAAATATGTTTTGTTTTCACAAACGTTGGGAGCTCTTTTTTATTCTGTCTTCTGTGTATATAACTCAGAACATCGTGGGTAAATTTCTAGGTAAGAACTACTAAGGCACTTGCCGAGTTAATTAAGGTACGACTGTATTACCAAAATACTGAAACTACGAAAGGCAGTGAACTGATGGCTGCTGCGAAACTCCGAAAGGCAGTGAACTGATGGCTGCTGCAAAACTCCGAAAGGCACTGCACTGATGGCTGCTGCAAAACTCCGAAAGGCAGTGAACTGATGGCTGCAGCGAAACTCCGAAAGGCAGTGCACTGATGGCTGCAGCGAAACTCCGAAAGGCAGTGCACTGATGGCTGCAGCGAAACTCCGAAAGGCACTGCGCTGATGGCTGCTGCAAAACTCCGAAAGGCACTGCACTGATGGCTGCAGCGAAACTCCGAAAGGCACTGCACTGATGGCTGCAACGAATTGCCTGAATTGCAGAATTATTAATCTGAATTGTAATAAATGAATTTGTCTTGCGCTGATATTGAATTATGGCTTAAGGTAGCCATTTCTTGTCAAGTGAAAGCTTATTGTTGCACCAATGGAAAGATCTGCTTCATTCATCTGACTAAATAGGCTTTAAACGCCGTAATCCTTCAAGACGTATTTTTCACCTTATTATTATAGACTGAATCAGATCGTATTAACAACGCAATTCGAGAAGAATCGTTCACACGCTCTCCGGGAGCCGCATTCTGAGTAGAGGTTTGGCATCAGCCAATTGAGACTTGCTGCTATCGCGTTTTTTATAATAGCCACGATTTGCTTAGCGTAAAAAACAAATACTGGTTTGGTTTGTCTGCTGTTGCAAGCTCACATCAATAAGACCTGCGTTTGAGCGTTTTTACTTACGAATGTCGAGAGATCGTAAGGTCAATGACCATTCAACTTGAACGTAATTACTTTAATGCTGTTGGCATCCTCCAAGCTACGAGATTTTGAAGTTCGATTTATTATTAGCCGATACTAAATTTGATATTTTTATAGGATCCAATAACAGGAAACAAAATACTTGGTAACTTTAAAAAATTTTCCTCACTTATAATTGGACGTGCAAAGATTGAATTTATATTTTTCAGAAAAATGTTCGACTTTCGCAACCACAGAAGCAAGCTGCACGCAAAAATTTTTTTGCTCTAAAAACTTAGATGTTTTTGAAGAATTTCTCAACTTGAATATGTTTGAATTACTTTACTCAACATGAAAATAGAATGTATAAATTATTTAAACTAAACTGACATTGAAGATAATATGTAATATTAGATCTGTGTATATTATAGACTATTGATGACTTGACTGTATCAAACACTTGCTGAAGGCAAATGAAGGTGTAGACTGCTTGCATTTCTCTGCTCGAGCCCCGCTATGTCTACTGTACGACAACATCAACCGCGTTTCTCGACCGTACATTAGTGATGACTTTACTGATGAAGAACGTGACGGCTGCAAGACAGTGCATGACAAGTGCGGTAGTATGTACCTCACTCGTAAAAAGTTAGCCACCAACGTAATTTGATGCCACTCTTCCGAAGAAACGGTCGTGATTGGTAGAAATAAATGCATTTAAAACCTTATATATATGAGTCGTCCAAAACTGATCTCGACAGAACAGCATGTGAAGTTTTTCGTTAACCTTGTATGGAAAATTATTTGACATAGGTATTCTATTTCCGCCTTACCCAAGGTGGTCGGGTCTAATTTATTGAGGTTAAGCAGTCGCTTTGCTCTTTGCGTGGCGATAAACGCGGATGTGTTGAAATGAATAACATGGGAGGCGAATTCCGTGCATTTAATCTACACCCTTGCCGTCACGCTGTGCCACTTCGTTTAATTCTAGTTACGATGATTTATATTCAGGATTAATTCAGTGTATTACTAATGATGTGTTTGTAGCTACTAGTTGTAGACAAGTGGGAAATTTGGGATGCAAAATTGATTGCGATCATTGGGCTATAGGTACATTATATATTGTTTGCGTGTTCATAGCCTAATGCAGTAAATATTTATAGATGATATGTAGTCTTTATAATTTAAGTATCCGAATGTAACAAGAATCTGATTTAATTTTATTTTACAGTCGTGGAATCACGAGGCAGATAAGATCTGAGATGTAATGGGAATTTATTATTGTAATTCAATTATAAATTTATAACGATATACAATTAATCTTACAATTTCTCAAAAATGTCGAACGAGTTTAAAAAGAGCAGTAAATATGTAGTACCGGTAATAGTTAAAACGTAGAAGTTGTAAATATCTAAAGTTTTTCATTACAGAAGGCTAGATTTAGAATTATTTTGATAGATGGAAAGCACACTTCGTCGCTCTGTAAAAATTAAATCAGCCACAAAAAGAAGGGATTATTCATGTCAAGCAACTCTTGGAACAACCTGCTGGCAATATTCATTTATTTGTTATTTATTTATATTAGTTTTAACGAAAGTGACCTCAATCGATTTTTTGTACATTTTACTTCAAACAAAATATGTAGATTCAGTTCCATCATGATTTTTTCGTGTATAAATTTGAATATTTGTGTACCGTAGTAGAATAATTCTTCACTTAGAGCAAAGGGATCGCATGAACGAGCCGAACAAGAAAATTTGCTAATGTCATATTTTTGTGGTATATGTACTCTATCAAATTCTCCAGTGGGCATTTCTTGTGGGACTTGAGTAAATTAACTAAAATGAAATTAACGTCAGACTGGTTTGCATCGAAAACAAGCGAAAAATATGCATTATATAAAGAACGTAAACTCAGACATCTTGTGTCTCCGCCTTGTGTTAAGTTAAAGCTTTGTGAACATCTCCGCCTTGTGCTAAAGCAACATCCGAAGGTCAATAGTTCAGCAGAATCCTGTTTCATAATTACTGCTAATCAGTTGCCTTGGCACGTGAACTTTCCCTTTGATATGCACTAAATTTTGTTATGTAGTAGTACAACAAAATCTAGCATCCTGACATATTCCAACTACTATTTAATGAAAACGCTGAGTTGTTCGACAAAACTAATTTTTAACGGAATCAATTTTGTCTGTTGCATGTTTTAAATCATTAATGATGATGTTACTAATAATGGGAAGCTTGAGATACTGCTAATTATATAATCAGTCTTTGCTGATTATCTTCTATTCATCATGCAAATTCTTGCTTGCGTGCGTATACCCTTTTTTCCGGTGTGGGTAACGGGACCACAGCAATAACGGTGCATAATTTACTGCAATGTTTAATGGGTCATGTCGTGCAAATAGTGACTCGCTTTCTGCACGTAGCACTGATAAATTCTTTTTCCGGGCCAAACTGGGTCATGACGACCCACGCCAGGGCAAAAAGCGCATCGATATTTGGACAAATCATTCTGATTCCTCTCAGTGTATTGTAGCATGCACCTACCGCTACCTCGCTGTATCAATAAATCCTGCACCCTGCGTGTTCTTAAATACTTGTTCGGATTGTAAATAAAATTAAATCTAAGCGCTTATATGGTGTGAAATAATAAAACGAAGTGTTTTTGTCTCACTCGCCTTCAAACGATTTAATACGTATATACACACTACACACCACCTTTTAGTAAATGGCATCTACGTCGTACTAATTGCTGTGTTTTTAATATTTTCGTTCGCCATCACTGTCAATACATTTCCTATTCAAGGGAAAACATGTACAATCAATGAAGCATTTATTTGATGGACATGATTTTCGTCCGACGACATGATGATGAGACGTTCTGCGGTGCCTCATGCACCTTTAACTCGCATGAAAACTAAATTTTACATAAAGTTTGTCAAAGTAGATTTTGTGTTTGAATTGTACGTCATAACTACAGTTGATCGATCCCTCGCCTGTTGTATTTATTAAGGAATTTATTGCGTGTCAGTAAGAGGAAAGTCGCTACAAATAATATTTTTTCATTAATATTTATAAATAAAAGGCCTGGTCGAGCATCAGATTTCGTCCCCATGTGCACAAAACTGTAGTAGTTCTTTTAATCAGGTCGTGAATTTAAAATAAATTCCTAGTTATTTTAAATATTATCACTTATGTAGGTATATTATGCATAAATTGTCGATTAGAGTTAACGAAATATGGATATGTTTATTAAGTCGTATTATATGTTTAAAACTTGGCTGCCCGCCAATTAATACCGTAAATATTAAACATGCTCAGCCGCACTCATTATTTACTATGTGAACATAGTGAATTCATCGTAATGGAAGAGAGACGACATTTAACAGGATGTTAATGTTGTTTATGCTATAAGTGATACATTAAATGAACCTTGAATATCAAAGATGTTGCACCACACTCTATATATCACTATGTTAACATGATCCCTCTTAATTAACAGGTTTCTTCGTTTCATATGCTAAAAGTGAAAAACAAACTGAACCTTACCAATTGAAGATGTTGCACATTATTCACAATGTTGCACAATTCGCAAAGTCAATATGCTCCCGTTTAACATGTTTTTGTGTTTCAGGTGCTGAACATGGAGCGGAACCAGCTGGAAAGCATCAATGATAACACCTTTTCCGGCCTCTTCCGCCTTCACACTCTCATCCTCTCGGAAAATCGTCTGAAGCTTCTTACCGACCTAACCCTCGAAGGTCTTGTTGAACTGGCACACCTCAGGCTGGACTTTAATCAAATTTTCAGTGTTGACAGCGATGCACTTAGAAATTCCACCAAGCTCAAAGACTTGCACCTTAGTAATAACTACTTGCAGGAGGTGCCCTTAGTGCTCAAAAAGCTCAGAAATTTGCTTAGTTTAGACTTGAGTGGTAACAGCATTTCAGAAGTGATGAAACGATCTTTTAAAGACTTGCAGCAGTTGACGGTGTTGAATTTAGCAAATAATGAAATAGAAACTATATCAAAAGAAGTTTTTAAGTATTTAGCTATGTTAAGAGTTTTAAATTTATCGCAGAATAAAATACGTACAATAGAAAATGGTGCGTTTGATCACAATCACAACTTGAAAGCAATACGTGTGGATGACAACGTGTTAACGAATGTCCACGGCCTTTTCTCGGACTTGTCGCAGCTCAAGTGGCTTAATCTGTCCAAGAACCACTTAGAAATGTTTGATTATGCATTCATCCCTTTAGGATTAGAATATTTAGATCTACGATCGAATCTAATTAATGAATTAGGAAATTATTTCGAACTTGAAAGTCAACTTAGTTTGCGAATTTTAGATGCGAGTTTCAATAAGTTACGGGAAGTAAGTTCCAGCTCGATTCCCGATTCTGTTGAAATAATTTTTCTCAATAACAATCTGATCAGCCAAATCCAACCTTACACATTCTTCAAAAAGAAGAATCTCACCAGGGTAGACTTATTTTCTAACCTCTTGCAGCATCTCGACCAAAACGCTTTGCGGCTCTCTGTTTTAGAACCTTCAAAATCTCAACCTGAATTCTACATTGGAGAGAACCCATTACAATGTGACTGCACCCTTCAGTGGCTGCAAAAAATCAACGGTCCTGAAGAAATAAGGCAAACTCCAAGAATAGTTGACTTAGCCGCCATTACCTGCAGGCTGCTGAATGCTAGAGGGCAAGGTCTGCTTTCACTCCTCGAGGTCCATAAGCTTCAATTCCTGTGCAAGTACGAGTCACATTGTCCCTCTCTTTGCCACTGTTGTGACTTTGACGCGTGCGACTGCGAGATGACTTGTCCCACGAACTGCACTTGTTTTCACGACGCCTCATGGACCGCTAATATAGTCGACTGTTCTGGCACAAAGCTCGTCGCGGTACCAGACCGAATCCCCATGGATGCGTCCGAAGTTTACCTTGACGGCAACAGTATTGAATCTCTCTCGAGTCACACTTTTATAGGGAGAAAGAATCTACAGGTTCTTTTCCTCAATAACAGTAGCATCAACACTGTTTACAATAGAACCTTCAACGGGCTCAAACAATTGCAGATATTGTACATAAACGATAATAATCTGAAATCATTGAAAGGATACGAATTCGAGAACTTGGTGCTGATGAGGGAGCTTTACCTACATAACAACCAGCTAATGAGCATCCATAACACGACATTCAGTACCCTGATAGCTTTAAAAATGCTTCGTATAGACGGCAACTTGTTATCAGTGTTTTCATTCAACCAACTCAGCCCCAGTCTAATTTCGATCCGGATCGGTCGAAACCCATGGACTTGCGAATGTTCTTTTCTGGACCAGCTGAAGTATTTCTTGTTCGAAAATGAAGAGCCTGGCAAAATTTCGGTTGACTCCGAAGAAGTTTACTGTATAGAGAACGGCACGAGCCTCGAAAGCGGTGAACAAATTACTGCGTACAATTCGTCAGAGTGTGGCACCAAGTACATAGAGAAAACAACATTAGTTCGGGATAGAGACCCTAGCGATAGCCAAATTTTAGTTCCAGTAGCAACGTTGAGCGGCGTTGCCCTCTTTCTATTGATATTTTTCTTTGTATTTTGTAATCGTAACAGAATACGAGTTTATATGCACGCCAAGCATGGCGTTCGACTGTTCTACAAAAATGATCGCAGTGAAGATTCCAGTAAGGTGTTCGATGCATTCGTTAGCTACAGCTCCAAAGACGAAGTTTTCGTTACTCAAATCTTAGCCCCTGAGCTGGAAAGAGGGAGTCCTTCCTATAAGCTGTGCTTACACTACAGAGATTTCCCTGTTGGTGCGTACGTCACTGACAGTATTTTGAGCGCCGTCGAGTCTAGCAAGCGAACGGTGCTTATTTTATCCGACAACTTCATTAAGTCGGAGTGGATGCGATACGAGTTCCGCTCGGCACACCACGAGGTGTTGCGCGATCGTTGCCGCCGTCTCATCGTTATCCTTCTGGGTGAAGTTTCTATGGGGGACTTGGACCCAGACTTGAGACTCTACCTGAAAACGAACACATGGCTGAGGTGGGGTGATGCCAATTTCTGGCATAAACTTAAATTTGCGATGCCAGACGCAAGACCGCCCTCTAGAACACACCAGCTAAGGGCAATACAGCAGCAGGAGTGTCAGGAACAATCCCCCAGTGAAACAGCTGTGTCCCAGACGAGCATACCTGCCCAAACGACGTGTCATTACACTTCACAGACTCAACCGCAACAAACTATCATCTTGCCTGACCAGCAACAAGTTCAGGAGATCAACCTACAGCACATCACCTCACATCAGGCCCTTCATCAGCATGTGCATCACGTGCAACATCACAACCACAACCACAATTCGGTGCGTCATGCTCATCATCACCATCATAGACACAACAACTCTAATAGTGGTTCCTAGCCACAAGCCTGCTGTGTCTGATAGTGTCTAGTAGTTCTCATTCTACTGTAGATTTAGCCATCTATTGCCGAGTTTGGGCGAGTGCATTTCTACTGTAGATTTAGCCATCTATTGCCAAGTAAGGGGGGGGGTGAATTTTGCCATTTATTGCCTAGTAAGGTAAAGGTGGCTGGATTCAGCCATTCATTGCTAAGGAAGGTTGGCTGGATTTAACCACGTTTTGCCAAGTAAAGGTTGCTGAATTTTCTCGCTCATATCAATGAGATGAAACCCAAACGTTAAATGTGGAGGATATTTTTACCTTTTTTTAGCTAGAGCAATGGATTTCGTTGGCTTGCTTCTTTCATTATGGTCTTATTTTTTAATAAAAAATTAACTAATATCTTCGGAAACTTACTTGTGCAATTAATTTGTGGTAGAAATAGCGTTGATAAAAATTTAGTAATCTGTGACAAATATGAATGCGGAAAATATGCTCACAGTTCATAAATTATTGATTTTAATGATGAAAGATTTTAGTAATAGAAAAGCTGGTAATTATGCTAAAATGATGATTGATGGAGCTATAAATCATGTTATCCTTGATGTTGTTAAAGAAGCCATAATTTGAGACCTCGTGAATGCTTGTTTCGATTTGCTACTACTTAGTATCATATTGATCCAAGACAATCTGCAATATCAGTTGGTTGCAACAAGGTTGAATCGGTGCATTGCAGCTGGTATTGAAATGATAAATGTGCGGTCCTTGGTTGTTGCAGTGAAAGTTTTATCAATATTAATTATTCCTGTCTGTCGAAATTGTGCCCTGCAAATGTAGTTGAGAATTGCGCTTCCGCCGCTTCGTGACTGTTCTGTTCACGATCACACATGTGAAGGTTATAGTCGAAGTGATTCAATGAAGCAGAAACAAATTTTCAGCCCATTGCCATATTCTGTAGAAGACGTTTCTTACGTTTTCCATACATTAGAGCTCGAGCTTGTACATTTTGAGAGATACTTCATGCGAAATCAATAGTCACCCTAATTCATTGCCATTTATTTGCGAACGTAGCCATCTTGTTAGTCAAATTGTGTAGTTTTGTATGTTGAGATTAAGTGCAAACTCTGGGATAAATAACAAGCGATTCCTCTGCACTGGTAGTATATTCACGCATACGGAGATCTGTGATTGGAAGAAGTGCCAAAATTATTCATCGCAATGGACGAGAGATAACAAACTTTAATTTTTACTTCACTTTAGCGCTCAATGAACGAGTTGGAATGTAACTTTTAATATTATGGTGCATTTGTTCCAGCCTCATTTGTCATTGTCAAAGGCCCGTTATTATTTTTTTTTTGTTTAAGATTTATTCGGCCATGGAATTATTAGGTTTTTACCTATAGGTACGTTTCTAAATGTGTTTTGAAACATAGTTTATTGTTTCTCAATTATATATCGAAATTATATTCGATATTTTTGTTGTTACGATGCTCATAATTCCAAGATCTCTATCGTTACTCAGTTTGGAAGAGTATAAGTGCATAACACCTAAATGCTTGCTTCGTGTAGTGCATTACAGTTGCAAACGCAATAACTCTTCCAAGTTCATGTATTCTTGCACTAGAAGGATTTTGCCAGTTCTTGTCGTTCCAATTATCACGGAACGCAGTAAATTTAATTTTATGATTCCGAATAACTCTGCTGTTGTGATAAATTTTCATTTGCGAGGCATAATTGGAATAATTTTGTACATGATGATTATTATATTTTTGTGATGCAATATTTCATAGTTAAACCTTATTTTGAAGTCTTGAACTTTGCGCTCGTTTCTGATATACAACCTGTGATTGTGGACGATGTTTTCACCATCATTCTTATTGATGGTTGACTTGTCTCTGTGAAGTGAAAACCGCTTCGTCGCCAAGCATTTAGACGTTAATTTAGTAGTATAGTATCTTCGACATTGAAGAATAGGCCTGTCGCCGATTCTTGTATTTTTCTTGACTAGACTGGCCTTTTGATCGAATTTTTCAACGGACGATTTGGCAACGAAGTTGTGTTTAATAATGAAATGGGTGTTGGTTAGCATGTATGCTGGAACGGTTAAGTACTTTATTCACTGCCGCTTAATGCTTGAGTCAACGTGATTGCGCCGTGCAAACAATTTATTCATATTAAGTTGAATGGAAAATGCTGTTACATTTCAGTATGTCATCAGCTGACATTGGTGCGTATGATCCTGTAGGATTATTCTAATGTTAATTCTGAGTAAAAGTAATATTTTTTGTACAATTGTAAATAAGTTTTCTTCTTATCAGAGGTAGTTCACACCGGACTCGTGATATTCTGACTAAGTTTTCTTATTTGTGTAATTGTAAATTTTATTTATTTTAATTTGTAAAGATTATGTTCTTAGTTTCTCACGTAAATATACTAACTTCCTTAAGTTCTAGAATGCAATGATGCCCTGAATTTATGCATGTGTAAAATATTTTGAGCGTAAAAATGGAGTCGTTGGGTGGCAAGAACTGTTCTTTGTAGCCTACCCGTATATATATTCGACGGCCGATGCCACATTTTTCAATAAACTTCGTTTTATATCAGAGATTATAGAATAAAATTTTATAGTTAAATTCTTACAAAATTATCTTTATGAACGGTTTAAAGTTTACGAAAGTACTGTGATTGTATTTAGCTGCATTCACCTGAATTTCAGACTCTGATTACAATACGGATTATCGATAATCAAAACATTTACAGAGATTATGAAACTCCTGCGCATAGACCGAATATCCTGTGGTCTTGTATGAATCTGGCAAAAAAAATGAACTACACTGAATGTTCAAATTAATCGAGAAAATTATGTGTACTGTTTTGGTACGTAGTTTTTTTTAGCCCATCCTGCCAACTAATTTTTGCCTTTACAAAACAAATGTTGAAATAAGTTTAGTAGTCTTCTTCAAAATATTATGCTGGGTAGGTAGGGCCCACATAGTAATTTATTCGGAATTTTTATTTAACTGAAGCGAAAATAATTTTTATTGAACGATTTCACTGTTTTAAAAGTTGTCAACCAATTAAATGTAAAATTAACTATATTTAGATCAATGCATTAGAATGATTACTGATGATATTTAATCATGCTAAAAAAACTATTTATACAACTATTATGAGAAGAATGATTCATGGTTTAGATTGCAAATTACTCATTTTTTTTATCGGTAAATCACGTACGAATTTGAATTCGTTTATTATCATTAGAAAATATCTAGTCATTTGTTTACGTATTTCGACGGCTGTTCGTAGACGTAAGAATCCACGAGTTTAATTGTACGCCTTTGCTTCGTTAACCTTGAATAATATTCACTTTCTATTCCAGCTCAGACTTCGAACATAGACTCACTTTCCTTATATTATATTCGTGAGTCCCACTGGGATTTTGGATGCAATTGTTTTCTAGTAGTAATAAAAGTTCCTGTGTGATATTCAATGTAAATGTTCGGGAACTAAATACATTTCTGTATATTGAAAGCATATAATTAATGTGCAGTTATTTCATTGAGGTTTCATCATTTAAATTCCAAATTCATAGTAAGGTGTTCAATTTTCCGCAACTATATACCCGGAGCAGCCATAAAAGTTCTGATATTTTACTTGAAAAATTCCGTCTTCAGTATAGTTTTTCAAGTAAAAAAAGTAGTTCAGTATAGTCCAGCATAGTTTCACTTCTACTGGATTTGTCTCACTTCTCCAAGATAGTGAAATTTATGTACAAGGTTATACCTGGAACCCTTATAACATACCTGTGTATTGTGAAAGTATTCATAATAATGTTATGGAACAATGTGGTACGACAGAGATTGATCTGGTTCATGAATAGAATTATCATCATTATGTCAAATATCATTATTTTTAGTTGTATTAGCATGCAGATAATTGAGCTCAAAAGAAGTTTTGTTGAATGTCACTTAGTAAAACTTGTGATATTAGGGCACAAAACTAAACTGAATTATTACCCATGCATTTCCAGGATATTCATACATTTGTTTGTGGCGATCAGCACCAACACGTACTCCGACATGGCATCATTCGTCTTCACAGAGCTCTCACATCTTTTTCATTGCAGTATTCGTACGATTGGCATTTAATTTTTCGTTGTATCGTTCGCAATGGATTGTCGTTTCCTGTATTCATGTTTATCATTCGTTTCTTGTTTTGTATGCTAGGCAGTTAAAGTATCTACATATTAATTGACGCCTAAACGCAATGTTCGATATGCCCCTAAATCTATTATTGTTTTTTTTTAGATTTTTCTGCTGCATTTTAGTGTTGTACATTCCTACTATCCTCGATACCCTCGATCGTATATACTTCATTTCTTAACATACAGTATATTATATTTTAATGATCTATTTTTTCAATATAATCGGTTTTTCGCACTATTGCTGTCATGAATAGTTACAATTTTGTATGGTCTATTGGATAATTGTTGAAATCCGAATAAAATTTCACTACAATAGATGCAGAACCTTGCAAATGATTATTCTCTAAAATTAATACGTTTTATTATTACAGAGAGATAACTTTGAAACTGATGAAATTCAGTTTTATGTTGTTACTGTACTTGTAAGCGCGCAATCTTAACTTAATATTTAATTGCGTAGCTGAAAAAGGACCTTGAAATCGCCTTTATTAACATAGCACGAGTTTCTTAAATAAAAAAAAAAACCATGCATCGTCGCAAACCTTGTAAAATCTTCTATCCTTCGTATCCAATAAGCCATCTTCCATTGACTATTGCCTATTGATCATCATACACTCAGAGAAATGAACGAAACTTTGTCCAAATAGAAATGCGCTTGTTTGGGTCATCCTGACCCAGTTAGGCATGGCAAAAGCGCGTATCAGTGTTACATTTGCTTACAATTAAAGTGTCTCTACTTGGATAATGTGATGCTATTTCTCTGAACAAACCTAGATTTGCAAATTGCACCTGGCAATTACGAGTGCAGCCTGTACAGCAAAAAGACTTCGACTGAATTGTCTCTACAAAATGAAGTGCAGAATTTACAGATTAAATTTATTGTTTAACTCTAAATGATATCTCGCACTGGCATAATAGTGGCTCATTCAAAAATTCATTTTTTTTTATTTGGTTACGGAGGCGATTGAAAGATGTGCAAGACTGTAAAAAATATTAATTAATATTGATGTCTGAAGTTTCCTTAACAGTAACAATTCATTTCAAATTACGATGTCGATATTGATGTAATTTAGGCATTAGCGCTGAAAAATATTCAATATTTGATTTATATGCCTCGGTTTACGCATAGGTATGCGTTTTATAAATTTGAATATAGTTCAACGAATCCATTATCATTTTAAATTTTTTTAATTCATACACAAATTGTCTAGATAATAACATCGCAAATAAAGCAATTATTTGTTTACGTCATAACCTAGTATTTCCTAGGAATAAAATCATAGCTATAGGTATAATACGTAATCTGTGAGGACGTATACAAGTGAATAAATGTTGTAATATGAATTTAATGAACAGATATAACTACTAGTATACGTAGCTAAGATATAAAAATAGAAACTTGAGAGATATGTACAATATCACATTAATCTATTACATTCAAATTAATATATAAAGTGTCAAAGTACCAATATTTACCATTCAAAATCATCTTCGTCCTGGCACATTCCCGAGAACGGCGACTTAATTTTTCTGTGCCCCTAGAAGCAAATGAGTTCAACTAATTTATAACGCAAGTTCACTAATAATTTAAAATCAAAGACAACGTCGAGCAAATTCACCAACCACATCTTCGTCCAGAACTTTTTTTTTTTGGCCAGCTCCATGATCAGCTGAAGAAATAGACAACGCTATCAAAATCATTGTAGAAACGCTAAATTTTCACAAATACCGTATATAATTCTTTTTGTGTAATTTAGGCGTTCAGAGTTAAGGTACTTGGTTCTCGTTGAAATAATTATTAATATAGCGCGAAGGCAGGGTAAAATTATTACCTATAGAAAATCAAATCAAAGTAAGTTTCGAGTCGGAGTGATACGTAGATTGTGTGATGCTGTAATGATGATTAATATAATAATAATAATTAATATAATACGTAGACAGGATCCTCCTCTCTGACGACGCCTCTCGTCTGTAGGCTCATCATGATGGCAAACAGCGGCTCGGACCAAGGCTTACGCATGCGCGTCCTGTAAGTGTGAAGGAGCGAAAAGGTTGTAGAGTGTAATAATAATAATAACGTAATTGATTGCTACAGACAAACATCAGATCAACGTAATTGATAGCTACAAACAAACATCAGATTGCTGGGTTACTTGACGCCCGAATAACATGCACTTCACTAACGATTAATTAAGATAGAAAATTATTGCTGAGAGATAATTAAACCCGAAATTATGTAAGCTAACATGAGATGAAAAGTATTAATGGCAAAAAAAAAGAGTACATTAAGGCGATTAAATTTAAATGATGAATAGGAAATCGGAGTTGACATAGAGCCACAAATTCAATCAACTTCTTCGATCAGTTATTTTTTTAGTGATCAAGTTTCATTGATATTAAGGCACTTACCGTTGCAATGTTTTCAGAGGCTCGAGATTTGGGTCTTTCTTCCCTGTGTCGGGATCAACGCAGACGAATGTGCATCTGTGTGAAACACAATTGTTAAATAAATATAGGTGTGTGATATCATACAACTATAATGATATAGGTGTATAATATTATAGGTCTATAATATAATTATACACCTAAATAACAATGACGAATTTCACTTTTCGCTGGAAGACGAAACAAAACATAAAACTATAAAGATGAATAAGATCTATGTTTCTATCATAACATTAGTACAAATTGCAACATTACTACATTGCAAGCTTTAAGTGCATATTTTCTTAAAATTTATACAACAATCGACATTTTAACGTTAGCAATGAAATTGAACATATCGATCCAAGTTTACCTGGTGCAGGGTTTCACATTGCGGAAGATGGCCATTTCACCAATTTTTATGTAGCGCCACTCATCTTCCTGGTGGGGACGTAGCTTGCCACAAGAAGCTTTGTCATCACTGAAATAAATTAAAATAAATGATTCTGTTGGACCTGTGTGACCTTCATTATAGAAGTACAATTGAAGATGTGTATAAATATATATAGATATATATATATAATTCAAAGATAGATACGAAAAGGAGGATACAGGTAAGTTAGTAATTGGAGTTCTGTTTTTTTTTCGCCAAAATAGTCATGAGCATATTTAGGTTTCAAAAACTGTATAAAGTAGGTTGGGTTTCTATGTGTTTAATCGAACACTAATACAGAATAACTGTATAGACTCTAGTCTACCAAAACTCAGGTAATGCACATGTGGAGCTAATTTTTATGTGTACGTTTGATGTACTCCGAGACGAAATTTAGCTTGAATATGACAAAACATTTGAATGTAATTCAAATTATTCAATTGAACCTTGTCAGACTGCATAATTTTAAAATTTTCTAATCGCAAATATTGTAGGTACAGTTGTAACAGTTCTACCTATGTAGTCCGACATAGGATAAATAGTAATTAGCCCATATACAGCAAATAACGTTTAATCAACGTTCATTTAACGTTACATGCCGTGTGGGGTTGGAATGCGTTGCTTGCCTGTCAACCAAGATGTTGGGGCGGAAGCGAAGTGCAGCGTAGCTTTTCCCTGGACCCTGTAGCTGCTCTACAGATGCCATCGAGAGTAGACTATATCCTGTGAGATCTGCATTGGAGTCCTGCACAATCAATATAATAATTATAGAATAGAATAGAAGTGTCGGCACTGAAGAAATAGGCCCATGGCCTGTTATGTATTACTAATAAATTAATTCCATTAATTTCTAGACATTGCGAGTCTAAGAGAACGTATTAACTAAAACAACTTATTACAAATATCAACAGAAGAAAATACAAAATAATGTTCATAATATTATTTTGATATTTACAATATTAACATTACTATTTGCAATATTATCTTGATCTTTGCCTGCCAGTGCGTTTCCAACAAAAATAACTCAGCACAAAAACGTATAGCAGCTTTTATTATGATAAATGTCAAAATCAATGTTTATCAACAAAAAGAAAGTTTTCATTACAACAACAAACTAAAAACGTATAGAAATTTTAACAATTTAAAGTCTAGAAGAACAAGGAAATATGATGAAGAACAGCGTTAAAAGCATTTATAAGAGCGAGTGTCGTTATATGCATTAAAAAGAATAAGTGTCATACCGAGTCCCCAGGCTGTAGTAGAGGCAACGTCACAGGAGTAGGAGGGTTGGGGACGCGTGTGGATTTGTTGACATCTTCATTGAAGTGCAGGAGACGAACAGGTCTCTGGAGCACTGACTGGAGCCACGCAGCTGCTTCATCACCACAATCTACACCTTCGACTGTACGTCCCTCAATCCTGGAGTGGAAGACCAATTATTAAACGAGGAGTGAGAAAATGTCTGAATTAAATTTACAGCTTCTCAAATCCTAGAAGAAAAATTGTTTGCAGAGAGAAAAGTGAAAAAATACCTGAAAATTTACAGCTCAAATCCTAGAAGAGAAATTGTTTGCAGAAAGAAAAGTGAGAAAATGCCTGAAGATTTACAACTCCTCAAATCCTAGAAGAGAAATTGTTTGCAGAAAGAAAAGTGAGAAAATGCCTGAAGATTTACAACTTCTCAAGTCCTAGAAAAGAAAAATTCTGAACAAAGAAGAGTGAGAACATTTCTGAAAACTTACAGCTTCTCAAATCCTTGAAGAGAAAATTTCTGAACAAAGAAGAGTGAGAAAATGTCTGAAAATTTACAGCTTCTCAAATCCCAGAAGAGAAACTTCTATTGAGCGAAAATTGAAATTGTTTTGTGAACATTTACAGTTCTTCAAACCCCTGGACCTGGAAGTGGGGGGGGGGGGGAAAGAAGAGGAAATGTCTGTTGAGAGAACAGAGAGAGCATCTGAAAAAGTATTCCGTTTGAGTGCAGATTGCTTTGATGATTGCAAAACGATCAGGTGAATGATAGGTATTGACGTGAATATTAAACAAAAGTACTTGATATAGGTAACAAACATGTGTTTATATGAATCTTAATGGACGGAAAAAAGAAAAGACCGAGAGGCCTTCAACTGAACTAGAAATAATTAATTAATTAATTAAATCGTTTCACTAATTCAATATAAACTGGGTGTTGAGATGCAAGTTTTCTAGGAAGCAATGCAAAACGATTACGGAAGCACATACCGAAGTAACGAGCTTGTTGTTAATCAATGGTAAGAATAATTAGCGGAGTGCAATCTAATGAAGATCATTCAATACATAATGAAAAGTTTCATTAATCTCACTCTGATATCTTGATCGGGCCTTGCTGCCTGCTAGCTTTGGTGATGCACAGCGGGTCCCTGCCAGAATAGCTGAGAGTGAGGTCACCATTCTCATCAAGGGAAGGCTTGATGAACACCATTTGAGGGCACATGCGCCCTGTCACCACCGAGTACTTGGGCGAATCGTTCACAACCGCGTAGCTCCTGAGGGAGTTTGAGGGCATAGAAGGTAATATTACGGTAAAAGAGAGGAAATATGAGGGCGAAAGAGAGGGAATTATTAGGGTAAATGTGAGATGGAATATGAGGATAAAAAAGGAATACTAGGGTAAAAAAGAGAGGGAACGTGAGGGTAAAAGAGAGGAAATATGAGGGCGAAAGAAAGGGAACATGAGGGTAAAGAGAGAGGGAATATGAGGGTGAAAGAGAGTTAATATAAGGTTAAAAGAGTGGGAATATAAGGGTAAAAGAGAGTTCATATGAGGGTAAATGTGAGGTAATACGATGGTAAAAGAGGGATTAAGAGGTTACAATATTTTACCCCTGACCCTAAAATCCTCACTTTGAAATTCTGGTTGAATTATTTGAATGCAATTTCATATGGAAGTTATGCTGCATTCACAGAATGAGTTCCCGTCTGATCCTATTTTATCAGAGCTTACTTCCTACAAAGCAAATGAATTTATTATGAAAATCACCATAAGATCATTGCATCAATAACAGTAATCGCACAGGCACAAAGCAAAAAAAATCACGTTTATGTTGACTATGTTTACAAAAATACTTATGAAAAACAATGAATGAATGAAAATCTATCGAAAGTAAAGCCAAATGTTTTATTCGCCATCAATACTGATCATATACTGTAATAATAATGCAAAACTCTACGCAGAATCAAGCTTTAATACAAGCGCGGAGTGGTTGAGTAGTTAAGAATAATTAAGATCACCAAAATTGAAGCAATGAGTTGGGGATTCGAAACCCGCAACAAATTTGAAAAACTCTGGTCAAAATCGGGAGGGCCGATAGATTAAGAATCGGCCACAGGCCAACATGGTCTGCTTAAAAATGATAGGTACTACTACATATTATTATTAGATTTATTCGCGATGGATTAAACTGGGAGTTCAATTCGTGAGAATTATCCTTAAATTGGATCTGCTTCCTCTAAGTGGTAATTTTGCATAATTTTTTAAATATTTGGGGTGAAGGGAATTGAGGAATCATAACAAGTTAAACTTCACTCACCTGTCCCGAAGAGAAGATGTCAGTTCTTCCAATCCAGCTCGTACAGCTGCCAGGGCAGCGTACAAATCTAGAGGTGCACACGACGTCACGGGATACAGCCAAACCTTCTTGACTTTACCAACATGCTGCCACTTAGCCTTTTGTAGCTCACGGGCACTGGAAATTAAAATAAACATATTAGAAAATCATGATTTCAACATAAACATAATATTATATTGTTTAATAAGGAGCCACTAAAGGATTTTACAAAGAAAATTGCTGCAGTGAGAAGTAGGGGGTTCCAACTGAATAACTCTAATTAAATTTTATTCTCAAGATCAACATTTTCGTCGTGTTGTCATTGACAATTGACAAGCATCAACACATTAACAATTGACAAGCATCAACACATTGACAATTGACAAGCATCGGCACATTGACAATTGACAAGCATAAGCACATTAACTATTGACAAGCATAAACACATTGACAATTGACAAGCATCGGCTTATTGACAATTGACAAGCATGAGCACATTAACAATTGACAAGCATCAGCACATTGACAATGGACAAGCATCATCACATTGACAATTGACAAGCATTAGAACATTGACAATTGACAAGCATAATCACATTGACAATTGACAAACAACACATTGACAATTGACAAGCATCAGCACATTGACAATTGACAAGCATCAGCACATTGACAATGGACAAGCATCATCACATTGACAATTGACAAACAAATTGACAATTGACAAGCATCAGCACATTGACAATGGACAAGCATCAGAACATTGACAATTGACAAGCATCATCACATTGACAATTGACAAACAACACATTGACAATTGACAAGCATCAGCACATTGACAATTGACAAGCATCAGCACATTGACAATTGACAAGCATCAGCACATTGACAATTGACAAGCATCAGCACATTGACAATTGACAAACATCAGCACATTGACAATTGACAAACATCAGCACATTGACAATTGACAAACATCAGCACATTGACAATTGACAAACATCAGCACATTGACAATTGACAAACATCAGCACATTGACAATTGACAAACATCAGCACATTGACAATTAACAAACATCAGCACATTGACAATTAACAAACATCAGCACATTGACAATTAACGAACATCAGCACATTGACAATTGACAAACATCAGCACATTGACAATTTAACAGAGTTTTGACTGACCTGCATCACCAGCCCTACAAGAATCGTATCATCTCTTAGGGATTAATCAGTTCTCAAAGCCATGCAGCTTGGACTCCAAGCCTTGTCACATGTAAAGACCAAAGTTTGAACAAAATGTAGAAATGAAAACATAAAAAGACATCAGCACTAAATTACAACGATTTGAAGTGTCTGAAAAAAAATTATTTTCTCCCTCACAGTTGCCATTCACATGATAGTTTAGTTTAGGGAACAAAGTGATGATATTAACAAGGTAACGATAAATGATGGGGCAAAAAAAAAAGCAAGAAGCATAGTAAAACGTCTAATATTCCAAATATAACTTGACAAATTCAACAAATTAAATTATAAATCTATACGTTCATTATTAGTTTATAACTGTTAATCCTACTGAATTTAGACAATAAAAAAATATCGAAATAAAGGTCCATATATATGAATTGGAATGATTTTATTAATTCTCCCACATTCATAACATATATAAATTGTATCTACTTATAGAGACGAGTAACAAAATAAGGTAAATTCAACATATTGCAAATACAACAAATGTAAGTTACGTCATAACTTTACGTCTGCCCAACATATAATATTGTTGTTTGGTCTCTGGAGACACTTACAATTATTCCATTAAATATAGGTAATAATGAATATTTCATACCTTCATAAGGCCTATGTATTCACCACACAAAGACAACAACGTTATTTTGCCGACTTAATAACTGATCATGGAAGACAAACTTCAAACTAGTATCTTTCTATCTACCTTAATTACTGGCTTTGGAAATGCACTGCATTGAGACACATCGAGAGCTTCTAATCTAGTCTCGTTGCTGGTCTTAGGAATGCAGCAAAAAAGACACCTAATGAGCATTTATTTCTTATTTACTACGAATAACAATTTTTCATCAAGCTGAAAATAGAAGGAGTTGAAATATGTGTGAATATAACAATTTCTCTCATATCTATCACAGTAAAATTTAATTATGAACAAATATAGAGGCAGTCAATTTGTATATACCTAGTATAATAAACATTCAACTTAAGTATTGCCATGGACGCTGCAATAGGTGCCCCTTGAAAAGCTCTAGGAAGCCCAAGGTATGTCGTATGTTGCACACCTACGTACCATCAAGGTCACGTCAGCTACAAGTAATTTACTTCAGAACATCCATGATGTTCACGTCAACTACAGGAGTTGTACACTGCACCACTACCATGTTGCTCGCATCAACTACAGGAGTTGTACACTGCACCACTCCCATGGTGTTCACGTCAACTACAGGAGTTGTACACTGCACCACTCCCATGGTGNAGTTATATAATGTTGAGCCTGTCTCTTATACACATCTAGATGTGTATAAGAGACAGACTACCATGTTGGTCGCATCAACCACAGGAGTTGTACACTGCACCACTACCATGTTGGTCGCATCAACTACACAAGTGCGTAGACAGGGTCACCCTCTTTGACAACGCCTCTCGTGTCCAGGCCCAAGTTGATGCCAAACAGAGGGTTGGTCCACGGTTTTACCATGCGCGTCCTGCACAACCATACATGACATGAGATGCTTTAATATAATAAAGGGTACCTATCTATCTTGCAGGATGATGGAAATAATGATATCCTGATCATACAGGGTAATAATGTGGATATCTAGAGTGGGAATAATAGGTTCATGGAATGGGTAACCTGACATCAAAAATGAGAATGGAAGAATGCTTGGCACATATATATAATTTATGCTATGCGCATGCAAATAGTTCTTATAAAATTCAGTGAAAAACTTAAATTTTGCAAGAAAACAGTGATACTAGGAACTAGCATCAAAGGCATTTAAATCTGACCTAGCATGTTTGGATACAAAAAATAAAAATCAGAACAAAGCCACAGTACATGTCGCAACTTTTATTTACTAGAATTTAATTCATGGTGTTTTGTACTCACTTCTTTAGTGTTGTTAGTGGTTCAAGATTAGCATCTTTCTTCCCCGTAGCAGCATCAACGCAGGTGAAAACACATCTGCATACAAAACAAGCATAGTATATAACACCAGTCATGTAGCTGAACTTCACTTGGGTAAAAAATGTATTGTAAAAATATTATTCATATACGGTAACTATTAATTTACATGTTATACAAATCAGAAAATAAGAGGATAGATTGCAATCAATATTTCCACAAACAGTTTTCCAATATCAGGAGCATCCATTTGAGTGGTAGCTGGACCCACATTTACCTGGTGCAGGGTTTCACATTGCGGAAGATGACAGTTTCACCAATTTTTATGTAGCGCCACTCATCTTCCTGGTGGGGACGTAGCTTGCCACACGAGGCTTTGTCATCACTGAAATAAATTAAAATAAATGATACTGTCGGACCTGTGTGATCATTATAGATATACAGTTGAAAATATATAAATAAGTAGGTATATAACTCAAAGATAGAGATGAAGATGATGCTGAATGCAAATAAAATTATTACATACCTATTTCTAAATAGAGATTGCATATATTACATTCATATGGTTGATAATGTTCAATAAGTGACACAAGGGATTGAAGTGATGATGATGATGATACTGAAATGTCAAAGGATACTAGTGACATTTTATTGAAGAAATTTGTAAGAATTGAATGCTGATATAGAGCTGATTCAAGTTAGAAAAAATGTAAAGATGAATTGCCATAGAGCCAACTTGTATTTTAATACATTGATTTGATTTAAATACCTGTCAACTACAAAGTTAGGTCGGAACTGAAGAGCAGTGTAGTTTTCACCATGTTCTCGCAGCTGCTCCACTGATGCTGTTGACAGCAGCATGAATCCAGTCAGATCTGTATAGATGCCCTGCACAATAGAAATGATCTACCCATGATATAGATGACATAAATTCAACTTGAGGAATGTAAATAAATTCATTCAAATAAAGATTTAAGAATCAGTCAAGATAACAATGAATGGTTAAGTAAATATTTATGATTGTCCTACCGAGTCTCCAGGCTGGAGTAGAGGCAACGTCACAGGAGTAGGAGGGTTGGGGACGCGTGTGGATTTGTTGACATCTTCATTGAAGTGCAGGAGACGAACAGGTCTCTGGAGCACTGACTGGAGCCATGCAGCTGCTTCATCACCACAATCCACACCTTCAACCTTATCACCCCAAACCCTGAAGTGGAAGAACAAAGGTCCCAGAAAAAAGATTTAGAAGAGTGTAAATAATTTTGAAGATTCCACAATAATCTGTTACATAATATAGACTGTACCATTAGACAGAACTATTAGAATTATCAAACACTAGGAACTAAAATATGCTGATTTTAAGAATGCAAAGAAAAAAGAAATGCAAGGCTATGAGGACCGTTTGAGATACAAATAAAATATGAAAGTTTCATTAATCTCACTCTGATATCTTGACCGGGCCTTGCTGCCTGTTAGCTTTAGTGATGCACAGTGGGTCCTTGCCAGAATAGCTGAGAGTGAGGTCACCATTCTCATCAAGGGAAGGCTTTATGAGCACCATTTGAGGGCACATTCGCCCCGTTACCATTGTAAACTTGGGTGAGTCATTCACAACCATGTAGCTCCTGAGGGAAAATGAATGCACAAGGAAGAATCTTGCTTACATTATATCAACATAATTTTAACAAAACTTATGAGATTCAGCTGTACACACAGCCAAAAGTAAGCAAAATCATACATAAATGCTGTATGATATAGTAATAGATAAATATTGAACATAATGCAATGTTTCTTTTCAATGCTGTTTATGTTGCAATAAAATAAATCTGAAAACATGGTTATAATCAATTGTGCATCAATGTTGTCATTAGACAGCTCTAGATGTTGACAAGACTTAATAATCCTTTTATTTTGTTGCGTTTTATTCAGAGGAAGTGGAGAAATCATAACATCTTAAAACTCTTTTTCATTTATTCCTCTATCTTTTCCTATTCCTCTATCTTTTTCTATTATTCCTCCAAAGTTATTGGAGGAATAATAGGCAAATAAAACTTTACTCACCTGTCCCGAAGAGCTGAGGTTAATTCTTCGAGCCCAGGTTTTACTGCCAATGCAGCATGCAAATCTAGAGGTGCACATGATTTCACAGGGTACAGCCAAACATGTTTGACTTTACCAACAAGCTGCCATTTAGCTTCCTGTAGCTCACTGGCACTGGAAATTGAAAATTGTCCATAATAATTGAAAATGAGAGCTCATATTTATTTTAATTTTTCAATTTACAGCATGCTTAGGATTCCACTAATCAGGTTAATGCTTGGAATAAAACTGATCTTTACTGTATATTATTTAAAAAATGAAAGAAGTTTATATTTGAAACCCTAATGAAAATTGCTCAGACATGCAATGAGCAATAAATTACCAAATTGTTAACTAACCTGCATCATCAGTAAATCAGAGAATATATAGGTATATCTTCCCTCAGCAACCTTAAAAAATAGGCCCAGACACCTTAGGCCTCTAAATCTTAAAAAGTTCTTAAATGAAATTATGATGCATCTATGACAATAATAAAAAAAATCACATTGTAATTTGCTAAATTTTTTCACACAAGAACCAAAAGTATTTATAGCTATTAGTAAGATTAAATTAGAGATATGCTGCACAATTTTTTTCCGGTTTGAATGTTAACTTCCATGACTTACAAGCTAAACTCATTAATTCATCCCATCAAACGGGATAATAAGAGACAATTTTGGGCGTTTTTTGTTAATATCTTCTTACCATTAAACATTTCATAAACGAGTTTAGGCTCATTTTAAAGGTCTTTGCAAGGGCAATCGTATGGCATCTCTGACAAATTCCATATGCCATTTGTAAGGAGCCAGAGCAAAATAAAAGCGTCCTGAATTACCCCTATAACAGGGTAATTTGGGACACTTGAAATAAAACTTAATTTTAAAATGTTTGAAGCAGGCAGAGTGCACTCATCCTTTACGAACAGTACTCCAGAGTCCTTCTCTTCCTTTGTAGATGATTTAGATATAGAATAAATGACATTTTCTGTGATTTGTACTTGTTATTCCTTTATTAATATATTACCATATCCATACATTAGTACCATCAACTGGGGCTACTTGGGACGGGCGGGGTAACTCGGAACAGTCCTCCAACATGGCGTAAACTGTTTTAGTAGCAAAACTAATTTGAATATTGCAAAACTTAATATAGTGGCGTAAACGTCAACATTTTTCCTATCTATGTAGTATAAAGGAAGTTCAAAAATACTACATTTACTAGCTTTGAAAAATTCCTGAAAAAGGTGAAAAACGATATTTTGAAAAGTTACTTCTGCTAAGGTCTGAAGTAAAAAAAAATATTCACCATATTAAAAAATTTTACTTGCATAAAAGTTGCACCCAGGTGTTGGCTTGAAAATGTAATCAACAGATTTTGCCCATCTCATTAAAAAAAAATGGCGGTCATTTCCGCACGGAGGGGCTACTCGGGATAACCCCCAGGGCTATTCGGGATACCCCCAAAAATGCATTTACAGTAGAACCTCAGTTAGCAAAGGCTCCAGTTAAGAAATAAATTGATTAAAAACAAGGAATATTGATTACATTTATCTAGTTCAGCGAAAAAATTTCACTTATCAAAAAATTAGTGCATCATTGGTGATCACAAAATTGTGCATAGAATGACATATACGGTATAGAATTGTGCACCAGGCATCATAAAATGAAAAGTAGGTATATATAGTCAGATGGGATAAGACAGGACCGAAATCACTAACAAGCCTGTAGCATCTATACCATGAATAACTAAAAAACCCTAAACCTATCACAAGGTGTACTTGTGCAATGGGCTTCTAAGCTACAACTCAGACGTTTTGCATCTAACACAGTTTTATGTACAGATTAAAAAAAGTGAGCTGGTCCCATCTTACCCCAGTGGGGTAAGACCAACTGGCAATTCTTTTGTTACAAGGTTTTTAATAAAAGTACAAATCTGATATTCAATATTATCCATTTAGAAATACATTATTTGATTAATCAACCACTTGTTACTGTTTTGTGTTGCGGGAAGTCAACTCTAATATCAGTCACATTTAAGTTTTTGTCATGAGAAAACTTTGTTAAGCATAGTAGTAAGAGTGGATTGGCTTTGGTTCATTGTAGAGCACTGCTAAATGTTTCATGTATATTCCATTAGTGTCATTGTTTGGAAAATTTATCAAATTGGTAATAAAACCAATGTATAATAACTTAAGTACTATCAGACATCATGTGTTTTCTTGCTAACTGCATTTGTGGTGCACTTCTTCAAACATAGCTCATGCCCTCTCACAGAGTGGTGATCATAATTACTTTTCATGTTTCACACAGTGATTTTTCTCCCAGCCAATCTTGCACATACTCGTTCTGCAGCTCACTAATGGGAAGAGACATCCCTATTTTCTATATCCCTTTGATGCAATTTAAAATAGTGCACTTAATTTCTCTAATTAAAAAGCTAACAAGTTATAATGAAGTTTGAGCAAAAGAGAAAAATTTTGACCAAAATACTTCATGTACTACACAATAATATATTCATTTAAAAACTATTTTTGATAAACTGTAGGGTAATAAAGGACCATTTGTAGGATAAGACAGGACCATTTGTGGGGTAAGATAGGACCACTTGTGTGGTAAAACAGGATCATTTAGTGGTCCTGTCTTACCCCATGTCCAGTCCTTTTTTAGCCCATTTTAGAATAAATGTCAAGCAGTGATGGTAGCAGGTAGGAATGCCTAGTATGTCCAAAAAGTTGCCTATTATTTGAAGTTACCTGCCTACATCCACAAACCTGGCCAAAAAATTTTATGTCATTAGATGGAGCTTATTTCCCAAACAGGGTTAACTATTTTGTGACCCTTCTTTACATAGGTTTTCTTTAAAAATTAGCCAGAAATTCATTATTTGCAGAAGAGGGTTGCCACAAACACTGAAATGACAGGCAATAATTGCTTTAACATATTCGTTTGTCAAATTGTATTCAGTGCAATTAGAATGCATGCCATGGGCCGGTCCTTTCTTACCCCATGAAGGCTGCGATCCTGTCTTACCCCATTTGACTATATAATTGACCTAAACTATGATTTTTTATTTCTGCAAAACATATGATTGTCACTAAAACATTCCTTTCTGTTTAAGGTATGTTTTTCACAATCTTTTTTTTATAGAAAATTCACTTAACCCAATTAAAATGGTGTGAAATTACAAGCCGTCCAGTAAGCTTACAGATAGAAAAAATGCTATAAGGCTGCTGATATCAGTGATATGAAGCTTGCAGTGGACATGGTTGTTGTAAATGCTCAATGGCATGTTCATGGATACAGTAATATCGCATCAATAATACGGTAATCAATGTATATGGTAATATCATATCAATAAAGGAAAAACAAGAAAAATCACTGAAAATGTCATTTATTCTACCTCTACATCATTTACAATGAAAGAGGAGGACTTCAGAGTACTGTTAGTTAGTTAGTAATCAAGTAATGGATGAGTACACTCTGAATGCTCCAAATATGTTAAAATGAAGTTTTATTGCAAGTGTCCCAAGTAGCCTTGTAATCTAGTCTGGCAAAGTCCTATTTTTGTCTGAAATATCGCGGCTCTAATATCATATAATTTCAGTAGGTATGAAATCTCGCGGCTCGCGAGATTTCAACTTCCGCAATCCACATTGCTTTACCGTTTCCGCCAAAAATATCTGGCAGAAAAAACATAAACATCGTAATGTAAACAAATAAACAAAACGTTTGTTGAAGATCGCGCATAGTTGCGGTCATGTCAAAGCTAAATGGCTTTTCATGGCCGAGATATGGAATTCACGGCTCGGTGAAATAGAATCACGGCTCGTAGAAATGGAATCACGGCTGGCAAATCCATAAAACCACGGCTCGAAAAATTCAGTCGCGGCTCGCCAAGTAGATATATTCCATACTAGAGTAGATATATTCCATATTAGGCCTTGTTCGACAGGCGGACGGGGCTACTCAGGATACTTTTTTTGCTTCTGGCACCTTACGAACAGCATATGGAATTTTTTGTAAGATGCCATTCGATAGCCCTCACAATTCACAAAGAGCTATAAAATGTGCCTAAACTTGTTTATGGAATGTTTCATGGTAAAAAGTTATTAAAAAAAAAAAAATGCTCAAAACCTTAAACTGTCCTGAATGTAGCCCGGGTTAATGGTATTTCACACTTTACTTTGCCAAACTTTTTAAGAGCCAATGGGACAAAGTTTTCTTTACATTACTGGTTGTAATTTTAGTAGACTTTTGTAACAAAATTAGGTATAAATAAGGCTTGGAAGTTTGCAGACATACAATTAAATTTAATAGCTACTATTTATTACAAAAGGCCAATAATAACTTCCAAAATTAGAATCCTTAATTCCTTATCATTATCAACATTTGTCACTTAGGTATTGTCAGACACTCAGAGTCAGAGCATAGGTACTGCCTAGCCCTAGTGTCTAGTGACAAACCAGAGGGAGAGAATAGAGATTTTATTAGAATCAGTTCATTTTTAATTTCCTCAGTTAGGCTACTCATTACTCAAGATTTAAACCAATTTCTTATCATCTTATGTAGGTATGTGCTGGTAACTTGGTAAGTGGTATCCATTCCACGATAATTTGCTTGTCTACTTAATGACTCAAAAATGAACTTGAGAGTTGAGGGAGAGTCTAAAAAAACTATCTGCTTTCGCTTTGCACTCTCTACTTGTGACTCTGAGACTTAGTCTCAGAGAGTCAGAGTCACTCACATTCAGCGTTTGTCACCGGTCACGTTATCGCGCACGCGCCACGTGGCCCGCAGCCCCGCACACTGCGTTATTTGATTTAATTAGGCAAATAATTTAATCCTCATTTAACTTACCTCAAAAGTTTCACATTTCTGGAATCTGGTTTTAACATCTTCCAGGCGACGTAACCTCCAATTATGACGGCTGAGGCTGCCAAGCAGCCTTTCCATTGCGACGATGTAACTATGGGAACCATTTTCACGAGCAACTGGCAATCCGCTTTATTCTCTAGCAATCAGTTCCCTTCAATCCGCCCAATTGGATTCAAGATAAAAATTTATTTGGTATATAGACGGCATTAACTAGCGTAGTCTTGTGGTATCGCTAATCCAAAGTACCATTAGCTATTAAGATTGGGGTAATTAACTTTGACTTTGAAGGGTTGAGGTGTTGAAGGCCTTATTAGAGGCCTGTCACCAATCATGGTGATACGTCGTATTAAGCAACGTGCGTGGTGGGTTCCAAATACTAGTTCAGTGTTAGCAGTCCGGGTCGTACTTGGTGGCTAGGTTTGACCAGTGAGCGTCCAGGCGAGGCTTGAATGAGTTGACACTAGGGGCGGGAACTACCAGCTCAGGAAGGCTATTCCACACGTTCACCACTATGGCGGAGACGAAATTCAAGCATACCTGGCGACTGCATTGCTCTTAAACAAGTTTCAAACTATAGCCTCTGGTTCTGTCACTGGTGGACAGCTTGAAGAGTGATGCGGTGTTGTACATCACGTGGACGTATTTGTAACAGTCTATGAGATCGCCTATTTTTTCTGTGTTCGAGACTTGGTAGGTGCAAAGCGGCTAGCCGAGCCGGGTAGTCTAGGTTGCTAAGTGATGCCAGTAGCTTGGTCGCCCTTCTCTGAACATCTTCTACCTCCGCACAGAGTGTTTTGCTGTATGGCTGCCAGTCTGCCACACAGAGTGGCCGTATTCCAACAGTGGGCGTACAAGCGCCTTATATAACTGAACCGACACAGGTTCTGTGAGGCAGTCGAAGCCATGGTTGAATGTATTAATTAAACCATGGTCGAAGCTACGACGGATGATGCCGACAACTCTGTTGGCTTTAGCGGACATTTGGGCAACATGGTTTCTGAAGTACAGGTTGTTGTCTACTAGAACTCTAAGATCGCGTTCAACCTCCGAGTTTGCAAGTTCAAGTACAGGGCGATACGATGCCTCACTCTTCTCTGTACCAACTTTCAGAACACTACACTTTTCCGAATGGAAACGTAGCAGCCACTGATCAGACCACGTCAGCAATCTATTGATGTCTTCTTGGAGCACCACCGTGACGGATTCACTATCACTTCTTGTGAATACTTTTGCATCGTCCGCGAACAAACGCATGTCACTCTGAATGCATCCAGGCAAATCGTTAATGTACACCACGAAGAGCACTGGTCCTAAGACCGATCCTTGAGGAATACCACAGATGACAGATGCCTGGTCTGAATGTGAGCTGTTCACTACCACACGCTGAGTACGATTTGTCAAAAAAGTTGCTGATCCACCCATGCACCTTGCCACCGATTCCGTAGGGCTTTACCTTACTGAGCAGACGTTGATATGGCACACTGTCGAAGGCCTTTTGGGAGTCCAAGTAAATTGTGTCCACTGAACCACAAAGGTCGAGCACTTTGGTCCACTCGTCTAAAACGTCAAGAAGCTGCGTTGTGCAGGGACGCCCGTCCACAAATCCATGTTGCTTTTCGCTAATAAGAGAGTGGGCCTGAGGATAGAGCACAACGTGCTCACGCACAAGTTTTTCTATTACTTTGCACAGTACACACGTCAGGCTGACTGGGCTGTAATTGTTGGGTAGGAGTCTGCTCCACTTATTGAAGACGGGTGTCACACGAGCTGTACGCCAGTCTTCAGGGATTTTACCCTCATCGAGAGAGCGCCTGAACAGAGTCGCGATGGGGGTATGCTAGCACCTCAGTTGCTTCTGCTAACATGAGTGGGTGGATATCATCCGGGCCCGCCGCCTTGGTAGGGTTGAGTTCGGAAAGCAGCTTCCTGACCTTCTCCACTGAAAAGTCAAAGTCCACCAGTTCCTCTCGGAGTGTTGCTGGGGGGGGGTCAGGGAGGGGACCATCCGGTTCAACTGTCCGGTTCAACACGCTTTTGAAGAAAGCGTTGAGGATATCAGCTTTTTCCCTGTCGTTTGAGGTTTTTGTGCCATCACTTCTCTTGAGGTCGGATACGCCGCTTCATGTGCTTGTTTTGCTTTGACATAAGACCAAAAATCCTTTGGATTGTTCCTTGCGTTGTCGGCAATGGTTTTCTCGAGTTTGCGCTGTGGTTTTCTACATGCTTTCCCAGCCTGATTGCTTGCTTTTCTCCAGTAAAGGTAGTCCTGACCATTGCGTGACTCTAGCCACTTACGATACAACTGATGCTTCTTCTTCACTGCTGCGAGTATGTCTTTGTCCATCCATTTCTTCCTATTACGGCTGCCAGCCTTGGTTTTTGGAACATGCACATTGACGGCACTGTTTATGGAGTCACGAATTTTGCACCATATTGTATCCGAGTTTAGACCGCTGAGTTCACTTCCCCACTCTACTCTGCCAAGGTCGGTAACGATGGAGTCAATGTCAGCTTTAGCGAAGTTGAAGCGTGGGGGTGGGTTGTGTGAGGGGCCGCGAAGTTGAAGCCAATGACAAGAACAGCAGGATCACTTTTCCCGAGACCTGCGGTTGTCTGAATTTCACACACTATGTCCTCGTCACTTGTAAGCACAAGGTCGATAAGACTTGGCGTCTGCCCTACTCTACTTCCGGTTGGTTCGCTCTGTAGCTGAACCAAGAAAGCGTCTCTGCATGCGCTAAGGAATCGTGTCGCAGGGTGATCCTGCCCCGCTGAACTCTTTTACAGATCCCACAGAATCTCAGGGTAGTTGAAGCCTCCCAGAATAACTGTACGCTTTGGGTTGACTTTGGTTGCCAACTTGCCTCACGTAGCATCTCATTTAGAGCGTTGCAGTTATCACCAGAAGTAGCTAGTTTGTGCACGTTGTTAGTACTGAGTAAGCCACGAAAGGGTGAGATGTAACTTTTCTGCAAAATCGCTGTTATGAGTATGATGCAAGAGCGTCAATTGAAAATGCGCAGTTCGGTCGCCATCTTGGAAAGTGCGCAGTTCGGTCGCCATCTTGGTCGTTGGTGATGCAATACTCAAATTTCGCCGTTTTTTTTTTTTGTCAAATTTCGCCGGTTCCAGGATAATCCAAAACAATGCGTATATGAGTCACCGACATGTGGAACAGCCTCCCTGAAGATATTGAACACGTTCAAGAACAGACTAGACAAGGCCATGCAGGAGCATATGTTTGGTCTTAAAATGCCTCGTATCCTACGGAACAACTGAAATCTAGAAGCGATTTTAAATATACCGTCCGTTGAAAAGATTTGATCAAAAGGCCTGTCTAGCCAAGAAAAGTACAAGAATCGGCGACAGGCCATCCAGGCCTATTCTTCAATGCCGAAGATACTATGCTACATGAGTATAACTAAAATAGCTCAAGTGATAAGTAAATCTCGTTTTGAAAATGAGGAAAGTGGGCTGTAACCCACGTGGATGAGATGAACAGCCGACAGCGGAGCTCTGCAAGACACACCCTCTTCCGATAGAGGCAATAGCGCGACTTTCGTCAATTAAGCATAATCACACTGGATCTGTAATGTGCTAGAAGAACACCATTTAAGTTATATTCGATTAAATGACTGGATTAATATATTCAAACATAAATGGGTTAGCTCTAGTTACTCAAGATCATACGCAGTCCAAATATGCGACAGTTTTTCTGTAAAATGAATGTTAACGCTGACTACTTAGATGGAGGAAAAATGCAAGTTGCTTCGAAGCATCCATTTTAGTATGAATATTTTGAATACCGTGAATATCTCCTTTATTCACGGACATTTAAAGAAATGGATGCGTCGATGTCGTATCATGAACGTCGATGCTGGTATAATATTTCCACACTGAATGAGTTCTAATTATAGGATCAGTGAAACACCGCAGAAGAAACAAATTCTCAAAATTTTGGACGACTGGAGAATCATTTTGAGATGAATAATTTCAGACAGGGAAAATTTATGTCTATTTTTTGCTTCTTTACACAATCCTGAAGTTACCTCAGTTCCTTATATATTCTATTGGTTTAATATTTCTGTTTGTGCAAATGTATATGAAAATGTACACCGTAATAAAAATCTAAAACCGCTTCAAACTAGAAGCATTAAATTCCATTTTATATTAGAGTTTCTATATTTGATTAGGCGTTTATTATCATAACAATTTATTTTATCTTAATTTTTCCATTCAGCAAGAGCTAGTTGACAAATTTGAATCATAAGTGTAGCTAAAACAGCTAAAAATTCGGGATTTGACTAAATGAACGTTAAGCTTCACAAATCAAATGGCTTAATTGCGACACTTCCTGTCGATATAACAGCTCACCCTGTATAATTTATCAAAAATCGTGGCACTGGACTTAACCTAACCTAACCTAACCTGCGCCGCCTGTTGCGGTAGGGCCTGTTGCGCTCCGGCCAGTTGGGCTCCGGCGCTGTGAAGCAATGGCTGTGTTGTGCACAGCGGATTTACTGTTAGCCGGAGTTACCCACAGCTCATTGATCTGAGGCTATGTGTAGATATTGCATGCTGATGGTTGGCGTTAGGCCCAGGGCCTGTTTACGAGTACAATTTGTTACCCACGGCTGCGCTCCCATGAGCAGCATTAGGAATGATCGCATTAAACATCTTTTAGATAATTAAGTACTTTGAACGATATAAATTATAAGCGTGATTGAGTCCAAGAGATTTATGTTGAAAATCAGGCCTCACAATGAGTTACGATGAGAGTACCTAGTTTAAGTTAGTTAAAATTTAAAATATGTAAAACTTGTTTATTACCTTGTGAAAACACTCAATGAAAGCTAGTAACTACGACTGAAATTTTCGTAGGGGCACAAAAAGTTGGGTAAATACAAACACACATACATGAATTAAATTGCTAGATGGCGGACCATCCACACTGGAATTCATCCGCAAAAGGAAGAAATTCATTCATTGCGGTCGCCGGGTATCTCTAATTCGACCAGCTCTTCTTCATCCTCAGAATCACCATTCAGTTTATTACAAGACTGAGACAAATGATCCTTCATGATACTTTTAAAATTTATCTTACGCTTGAGGTGTTTACTCCCCTCCTTTAGGTCAACCGATAATTCGTCCAGACTTTTACTACATTTTCCTACCAACCTCAATGGCGACGAAGAAGTATGCTGTTCTCGAAAACTACTGGGCTTGAGCGGTGATGAGCAGGCTCTACGTTTTGCTGGAGAAAATCCCAAATTTTGCTTGTTGAATGAAAAATACCCTTGACTAAAGATACTTAAAGATTTTAACGATGATTTGGGGGACCCAGAATAAGGTTTTTGACTAGTATTCTTTATGTTGGGGTCTTGAGATTCCAATTTCTTTTGTTGTCGTTTCAGAGGAGACGGAGAAGAATTACTGTCTTTTGAGGAGGTTTTGGAATCAGTTAGTGGATAGTCGGTTTCTTCAACTTCTTCCCCCAGTGCATCGGAAGCATCCGTGGATGATGATTGAGTTTTCGACGCTTTGAAGCTTCGTTCTGAACACTGATTGCATCCACGATTGGGGAATCGAGTTTTCGGTTCGTGTCGGAAAACGAGGTTAACACTCCGGGACGAGCTGGTGCCAGAGCACGGCAGAGACGGCTGAAAAGGAACGGCCTCGATAATGCAAGCTGGTGATCTAAGTTTTGATGAATAAAGTTCGGAATTCCAGCCGAGATTCATATGATCACTTTCTGACTCTGATGACGTAGTCTGGGTACTCTGAGTCCTGAAATGCTTGACAGGAGCTACAGAGTCGCAGCCCCAGGAGTGTCTGCGTCCATGAACTCCGCCGTTTGACGATGCAACATCTGAAAACAATCACAATTTTACAGATATTGACTCCGACCTTACATGGTCAGTTCCTAGTGATGGTAAGACTGCGAAAAGATACATTCAGTTTCCTGTCGGCAAATTACCACTAGCATTACTTATACCACCCGCTTACATAACCAATAAAGTATTACAAACCTGGCTTATATCCAAGGTTCATTGATCATCATTGTTGTTGATGAACAAGACTTATGTAGGTTTCACTGTAAACGATATTTAATATGATGCTTTAATTTATCCTATACAATAACTGGAGCGACTCTGACGACCCATGTGTTTCAATGAAGAAACGCCATATAGAGATGAAAAAAGTTGTATTTGTGCAAAAATTGAAATAGAAAGACAGGTGTGGGACAAACAACTCACTGTAAAGACAGATGTCGGATAATAAACTCACTGTCAAGACAGACGTGGTATAATCAACTCACTTTAAAAACATTTGTGTAATAAGTAACTCGCTGTGAAGAAAGATTTTTGATAATCTACTCACTGTAAAGAGAGTTGTTGGCTCCAAACGAAGGTGCCACGTAAGCTTCGGCGGAATGCGTGGGGTGCAGTTTCCTGCCTCCCAGCTTGCGATCTTTATTATTCCAGTATTGTTTCATGAGCAAATTCCTTCTCTCGGAAAGACTGATACCTCTACCTCCACCGCGACAAGATATTTCTGATCTTTTAGCAGTCAACTCCAACAATATCTTCTCTGTTACATTGGCAGCCTCGGTCAACCTTCTCCGCCGCGCTCGCTTGAACGTTTTTTCGTCGTTGGTAGGGGAACTTTTGGTGTGGCGAACTTGATTGCTGGACAGCACTAGAGGAGCTTGTCTTTGCTCGACGGCGTCTAAAGGCTGACTGCGATGGGTGAGGGAATAACGTTCGCATGTGAACACGGGGATGGAATTCACTGAATAAAACGGGCCTTCTTGAAGAGGGCCGTCCCTTTGAGGAATGGCGCTGGAATCTGGAAGATGATTAATATTACAGTGTACTGAGTATATCACTGCGTATGGAAGTCGCGTTTTCATTAATTGTTCAACGATTAATGCATTAACACTGTAAATTTAGTTGTTTTAGATTAAGTCTATGTAATTAACGTAGTATGAGATCAATCAGTAGCTTTTCATATCCTAATAAAGGAACACTAGTTGTTCAAGATTTCACTTCCGCTTGTTAAAACCAATAAAACAGAAGCCGGCGGCCTAATCCATCAGTATCTCACCATGTTACAATACAATCGTTAGCTTGAAAACTAAAAATAAACCACAAGGTTATCATGAAATTTACCAGGAAAAAAAATATTGCAACGCAATAATATTGCCATCAATGCCAAGTAACAGCCACAAAAAGGACAACACCAAAAGTAACAACGAAAACAACATAAACAACAACAAAATCAACTAAAATAACGGCAACAAAAATAACTACAACAAAAATTAACTACAACAATAGCAACAAAATCAACTGCAACACTATCAACTACAACAACAGCAACATTAAAAAATAAAGTTATTTTATAACTGACCTACAAAGACGGAAGTATCATCACAGGAAGACGTGGTGTGCCAGTCTTGCCTGAGTGACTCAGTGCCAGAGTCTCTGTTGCTCACAGCGTCCTCCGCGACCAAGTCGGTGCCGTACAGCCTGCCACGGCCAACATTACCAAACTCACTACACAAACAACATTAATGTATCGTTAAACTCATTTGGTGTCTTCAACCTGGTTTTGCGGGGAGATGGTGGCGTCCGTGGGAGAGTTGGTTGCATGCAGTGAATGCATCGGCAGTTTGTCGTCTTCTGGTGACGGCTGGTGCAAAGCAGCGGTACGACCTGAGAAAATTGTAGAATCGATTTTGATTTTGTAGAATCAGATTTTTTTGTAGAATCAGTGTTGGAAATTAATCTTTTCTCCAGACTAACATGTCTAATTGAAACTAAAATACATGGAAGTATTTTTAAAGTCTTAAGTTTAAACAAATAAAAATAGTTATGATTTGAACCTGGAAGCGGTAGGTAGCAAGTAATGCTATTGTTGCGATGGGCGTTTCACGCTAAATTACTCGGGTCTCTACTTATAGCGAATGAACTATTGGTATATAATATAATATATAATATACCATACAATATACAATATTGTACACCCATATAACAGTGGGTATATAATATAATATATATATAATATATACTCTATGAATATAACGAGAAAACTATCCATGTTTTGATCATCATCTTCTTAGTGATCTTCAAACAAAATTCTGCTTTCATCACGCTGCTACAAATCCTTCCACTAGGACCGTAATGAATTTCTTGTTCCATGTTTAGAAAATCAGGTAAATTATATCATATGAAAAAACAATTCGAGTTGCTTCTCAGATACATCTATTTGAATTGTTTTCAGCCAGCGATCACATTTGAGACCTTCACTCTAATTTTCAACAAAATATAAAGTCAATAACAATTTTCAATAAGGTCGAAGGCTCGAGTTTGATGTAGGGCGATGAAGGTTTCCGTTGTTCATCAAAGATGAAAACCATGAAAATCGTTGATAAAAGTTTTCATGATTTTCAGTAACAAAAATATCAGGTTTATACCTGCTAAAGCTTTCCAGTTGATTATATTATTAAAATAACTTACTCTTGATAATATTAGATTAATTAAATCATGGACCTGAGAACATTGCATTGGTTGTATTATCGAGGCTAAAAATAGGTAACTATTTCATTCGGGGGAACTAGGCTAACGTCAACTTCCAGCGAGAAGACAATGTATATTTTAGACTGCGATGGTACATTTAATGATCAGTTATGACCAATTAATTTTTTAAAATTGAATATTATAGATCATGAATTGTTATTAAAAAACTTGACAAATGTAACTAATCGAATATTAAGGATTTAATCTCACTAATTAACTTTCATAGAAATTATATTGCTAATAAAGTATCATTGATAAATATGCATGGGACCGGTGGTCTCCATGGCCTTTATAGCGCTGCAGGTCACCAAGTCTAATGGTGAACTAAAACAATGAGGATGAATATCACAAAAGCTCACCATTGATGACGATGGCGGTGGGGGGAGAGCGCAAGCGGTCCCCAGTGGGGCGCTGTCCTCGGCCCCCCTTGCGGGGTGACACCCACACCTGGGGGAGCGACACCCAGAGAGTGATAATAATAACTCTATAAGGGGTGATCATGATTGATCGTAACGGGATGATCATGATTAGTCCCCACGTTTTGAACAAGACTGCTCACCATAATTACACATCACGCGGGAATTTTAATTGAACATCAAGTGAAAAACTTAAAACCAGCAGGCTGGAGGCCTTCCTGCTCACTTTAGACCCACACCTGCAGGCTGGAGGCTTCCCTGCTCACTTTAGTCCCTCACCTGCAGGCTGGAGGCCTCCCTGCTCACTTTAGACCCTCACCTGCAGGCTGGAGGCTTCCCTGCTCACTTTAGACCCTCACCTGCAGGCTGGAGGCTTCCCTGCTCACTTTAGACCCTCACCTGTAGGCTGGAGGCCTCCCTGCTCACTTTAGACCCTCACCTGCAGGCTGGAGGCCTCCCTGCTCACTTTAGACCCTCACCTGCAGGCTGGAGGCCTCCCTGCTCACTTTAGACCAGCCACGGCCCTGGATGAAGCACAGCAGCCTGCGGCCAGTGTTCGAGAAGAACAACTGTGGGCATCGGAAAAACTGAACTCCTAAATGTGTTTGCCTGCTACATTTGGTGATGAATTTTAATCATGTAAGACTAAACAAGTAATTTAACTTAATATATGAATAACTTCATCAAATACGTCAATAAATTAAGTTTGAAATAATATAACATGTTACTGATATTGTAAGATTGCAAATTCGGTGCTGGCTATAATAGAGATTCTCATCATGAAGTTAAATTTTAATTAAATCCCTAAACAGTAAAATGTAATTTCAGATGGGATTATGTGGATTAGAAATTCTTAAGAAATCATTAGTTATATAAGAAAAACTTTTGAAACGTCAGAGTACACATGTTATGAAATTCGAAGATAATTAAATATCAGGAGTAAACTCCGTAGAGTTTAGTTTGGAGGTTCAGGCAGAAAGGCAGATAATGAAATTCGGCTTATGAAGGTTTAGAAAAAGACTATAAGCCATTTAATGATTGACAAAAAAGAAATTTGTCAGAAATTTAGATACAAATTTACATAATTAAACTAATTTAATAGCAAACCGTTATACAATACGGCCAGTGATGCGCACAATTCTCCGAGAGCTAAATAAATAAATTCATGCTATGCAAAATTTCCTAGAAATTTACGAAAGACATTAATATAATTGTTATTAGAATGCTTCCAACTTTATATTATAAGAAATAATCTGAAAATGAGGAGCATATATAAGGAATAAATACAAATTTGATCCCTAATAATATAGGCGTAATCAAAACTCGTTTATGGGTAATTTAATCACACAATATAATACAATTATAAATTAAAATTGAATTATATGTTTGTATTTCACATGCATGCTGAGCACAGCAGTATTACTCGCTAATTTATAGCCAAATTTTGTTCAATTCAGTTTTTTATGAAAAGATTTTAGTTCGCTTACAAAGTGTTTTCTAAATCACGACCGACGACAGAGTTTATTGGAAAATTAATAAAAAACTCAGAATGATTCTAATAAAATAGTTGCATAGTAAGAGCCGCTGATACAAATATATTACCGATTTATTTTTAATTCACATCCAAACTGTTGCTTCGAGGCATGACTTTTGGGAACTCAAATTAGTGAATAGTTTGAAAAGTCTTACACTTTCATCTCTACATTATATAATATGTATATTATATTTTAGATATTATGACAAAACTCCAAATACATCTTTATTTTTTAAAAAGCTTTCATTCAGCTTCTTTAATATACAAACATTAGTAGTTATTCAGGTTCTTCAGGTTCTTAAAAATTCAGGTTCTTAAAAATATCAGGTCAATCCTCTTCCTGTCTCATATTTCCAGCAGTGACAGGGAATTGGAATACATACTGATCAACGGAAAGCCACTCCTGTCGGCGGGTTTTTACATGTGATGTGAAATCGCACAGTTCAAAAAATGCCAATGAAATAAATGAAAAACCTCAATGATAATCCTAGAACAAATCCTGCATCGCTAATCACGATGCAAAGAGTTTAGTTTTTATTTAAACTGTAATTAACTAACTTCGTGGCACCGTTTGTTTCTTGTTCAAACGTATTTTTGGGAGGCTGATCTTTTAATATATTTTTTATTATGAAATTTTGAACAAATTTAATGCATGAAACTTTTTACTTTACATTACATACTCTCTCGTTCATGCAGAATTGAATTCATTTTAATTTCAAAATGATTGCATGTAAAACGTTGATTTTACGTAAATGAATCAATGCTGAAAAAATGAAGAGTACAATAATGAAAGTTTTGCACCTACGCCACGTGTATTGTTTGGACTATTTTTTTATATCTCGAACATTTATCTCCACCTCAGCAACATCTTACGCCGTGCAACATTCAAGGATTTTTTCCGGAATAAGATTTATTGTTCCATTTCTTCGAGCACTCAATGTCTGGCCTGAAAAAAGTATTCTATGTGCATACAAATACAAAAATAAAGCAGAATGAGACTGTTGATTTTTTTTGCAGGAAAACGCCAGCAGGCGTTGAGTTTCTGCAAACCAGATTGATTGATCTGCGTATATTCTCAGAATGAATATCCGTTATTGCTATATATAAGATTTTTTTTCTTCTACTGATGGAGCAAGCACGTTTCTTTTCAATTTTATTTGTTGAAGGAATTGTGATTTATTATCAAAATGCTAATAATTTTGATGCTGATTTTTAGAAATTTCGCCTTTTGTTCGAGAACATTTGTATTTAGTATATTTCATAAATGTTTTCATTTTATTTTTTATATAAATCAAAAATCAAAATTATCAGTAGATACGAAACTATGTATCTCCCGTAACTTGTGACCAATTAAAACGTAGTTTTGCAGAATGCAGTTCAACATAAAATAAAATAGTTACACCACAAAGTTTGCTGAGAGTGTAGTTTTGAGAGTGAAGTTGTCTAATTCATAGAACTTCATCGTTTGCATGTTCTGAGCCAGAAAAAGGTTTTATCATTCAGTTTTTATCAAAATAGTAAACTAAATTAAATACATAATAATAAGCGATTCTTAGGACATGATTGTAGGTCTTCAGATGAAAAAATGCAGTAAAATAGATGTGAAGATGTGAACAATCTTACTTCATGCTTGCACTTGATGGCAGAAACGTATGGAGAGGCCAAACCTTTTTCAGGGCAGAAAATTGTCTTCAATAATCGGCTTACCATAATCGCCAACGCATGTTTCATGATTAATCAGGAATCGCAGGGATGCGTTTTCCAATAAAAATGGTATTGTCGATACGACCGTATTCTTTATGTTACTGCCAAAATAAGGCTGATTTCGTGCCGCGACCTGCCGTCACCGGTGGCTGAAAGCAACGTACTGCCAAGGCGCCGGTGCCGTGCAATGTAGATGCAGACGGGCGTTGGCGTGGCTCTATTAACGGCACTGAATCGGTCGTTTCGGACTGAAGATTGTTATGCTGCCGTAATTAGTGCCAGAGCATATTTTTTGGGGATGGTATTCCAAGCCAGACCTCACCTTACGGCAGATGATGTAGGCCCACGGGTCAATTATTTGGTTGAGGGAAGCGAGTCTGATGGCCACAATGTCGGGGTAGTGATCTGCCCGAGACTTATGGGGCCAAACTTGGTTCAGGAAAATCCGCAGCTGGAATAAATTATTTACCGTGACGTTTAATCAATTATGTACATTTTCATCATCAGTGACAGATATCCAAACCGAATCGTGAATGTTAGAGAATTTCCCATGGTATGCAAATAGCCACTGTAAATGATATTTGCAGTAATTCTAGTGAAGCGTTAACGCACAAAAATTATTAAAGGAAGCAGAAAAGAAACGACAAATGATAATGCGTGGAGCACTGTGACAGTTGTTACTTAGAGGTATTGTGGTAATTTTTGAAATCGCGGAGAAATGCACGCAGCCCTGAATATGGTTGAAAAACAGCATGGTTGGTTGACTCACGTCAAGAGGTAGCCAAGAGACGATGAAGACTACGGTGATAACAACGAGCACCAGCACCATCTGGATCTCGAGTTCCCGCTGTCGGTAGCTGCGGTTGCTGTAGAGGTGCTGCGAGTTCATGGGCTCCCGCAGTCGAGTCATGCGCGTTCTGATCAGGGTTCCTGTCGAGCAGCCATGGGTGTAAATCCTTCAAATTATTTACATAAATCCAGGGAATCATTAAAAGTGTGAGATTATATTTGACGGGTACGGAATATCAGGCCAAATTGATTATAATCCTATCCAAACGTTCTAATTAGGTCGGTTAAGCGTTAATTTAAAACGAGAAAGTCTGTTAACCGGAACACAAGTTTGAGGCGACATCAAGCGATGTGAGGAAATATCTCAGTTCGTAATGTAGATGCAGAAAGGCGGCTGATGGTCGTAAATTGGTTCGATGTGGATATTCCAGTGAATAAAACGGCTCGCAATATTTTAAAGAGCAGGATAATTGAATGAAAAGGGATTTTGGCACCGTTTTCTAGCGAATTTTCTCATTTATGGAAAAAAGGCGCTATTGTGCTCGCCACGTCCGTCTGTCCGTCTGTCTGTCTGTCTGTCTGTCCGTCCGTCTGTCTGTCCGTCCGTGACTTCACGTTTGAGTCGACGAGAAAATGCGCTCTCTGTCACTCACTGCAGTGAGTACTGAGTTATATTTTTTAGATTTATGTGCGACGAAATTTGCCCTATTCCTAAAAAAATCTGTAATTATAAGAAACCTGTAACGGGTATGAGATCCAATCGGCAATATGACGTTAGATATTCTTTAAAAGTTCTTCGAATATAGGAGATTATAATTAGGGTATTAATTTTCTAATTGAAATATTAAGAGAAAGAAAGTAAGGAGATACAAATAATAATTAAGTGTGTTATTTAAGCGGCAAAAAAGCATGACAAAAATATTCGAGAAGAAAATTATGAATACTGTTAAGTAGTAAGAAAAAAATGTCTGATGGGTGTATCTACAAGTGAAACGCCGATATAATGATTAACAATCCAGAAGCTATTATAAAAATAGTAATTTTTGTAAATGGCATCATTATGCATCAAATGCCTGCATGATGACATCGACAATCATCACTACCGTTAGCATGTCACTCTTACCATTACTTAGGCACTCCATAATTAGATTTTGATTGGAAATGACCAGCAGTTTAACTCTGGCTAGATGAAAATTGTAGAATATACCCCGCATCATGTCAATTGTCATAGTTTTAAGTTGTGAAGATGCATTTTACTCTTCATTTGATGCAATATTATGGCCCAATTACTTATTTTGTTTTCAAGATTTTGTTGAATATTTCCGGGATGGCATAATGCGTGAAATTATAAGTTAGGCAGACAATAGATAAGATAATTTAAAAAAAATTTATGAATTTTCGAGCAATTTTTTTAATATGAGATTTCCATTTAATTTATTTGCACAAGGAATAAACGGCAACTCACCGGCCAGCAGCGGCTCGCTGCGACGATATCGCTTCCGTAAGAGTGACACTGACAGAGAAGATAGGCGTGAAGATATGAGTGATATATGCGTTCAATTAATCCTCTACTGACAGAGAAGACAGGCGTGAAGATATGAGTGATATATGCGTAAAATTAATCCTCTACTGACAGAGAAGATAGGCGTGAAGATATGAGTGATATAGATCGCGCTGATGCAGGAGGTTCAGGCGATAAAGTCACATTCTGTAAGGGCAGGCAAGATGCTATAGATCGCGCTGATGCAGGAGACTTAGGTGATAAAGTCACATTCTGTAAGGGCAAGCGCGAGACTATAGAACACGCTGATGCAGGAGGTTCAGGTGATAAAGTCACATTCTGCAAAGGCAAGCGCGAGGCCATAGATCGCGCTGATGCAGGCGGCTCAGAGGATAATGTGTGGCACGCGCCACAGGTGAAGATCGTAAATTTCAAACGAGTCCGTCGTGGGCCAAAGTTATGCCAGTGTTAGTGTAAATATTGGGCAGAGGAGAGCAGGTGGTCAGCTGGAGCAGAGCTTTAAGTGTTCTATTTATAGCAGTGTGAACAAGGTACAGGTGACGTGTGTAGTGTAGCGCTATTTCGAATGAGGTATTTTGAGACCGAGCAGGAAACTGAGTTACACCGATGTAAATTGAGATACATAGAGGGAAATTTAGGTACATCGAGGAGAGTTGAGTTACATCGAGGGAAATTGAGGTACATCTAAGGAAATTGAGGTACAGTGAGGGAAATTGAGGTACATCGAGGGAAATTAAGTTCCCCCGAGGGAAATTGAGGTAAATCGAGTGAAATTGAGCTAAATCGAGGGAAATTGAGTTACACCGAGGAAAATTGAGCTAAATTGGAAGAAATTGAGCAAAACCGTGGGAAATTGAGCTAAATCGAGGGAAACTGAGTTACATCTAAGGAAATTGAGGTACATCGAGAGAAATTGATGTATACCGAGGGAAACTGAGTTACATTGAGGTAAATTAAGTAAAACCGAGGGAAATGGCGTTACATCAAGGGAATTAGTTTGTGACAGAAAAGGAAATCGATAATATTAATCGTTGACAGAACAAGAAATTGAGAAACTTCAAGGGAATTTGTTGGCGTCTGATTAATATGACTCATGAATCTCTAAATAAAAGGGAAAAAATTATAATAGTGTGCATAGAACTCAATTCCATTTAAAACATAAATTAATATTGAGAGGCTCATAAAATGCAAAGAAAAGCTTTACGACTTATTACAATAATTCAAGCAGATTTAGAATAATTATAAATTTAAGGTGGATATGCTTAAACATCTTAGTAGGAGGTTAATATTCGCGCATCCAACATGTGATCAGATCTGATGCTCAAGTGATAAAATATCACAAGCATAGAGTAATGTGATGTACTGGCTGCTGTGATTGGCTAATATGATTCAATCTGAAGAACAAGTTTAGAAGAAAAACAGCACGTGCATCGAATAATGTGATGTACTGGCTGCTGTGATTGGCTAATATGATTCAATCTGAAGAACAAGTTTAGAAGAAAAACAGCACGTGCATCGAATAATGCGATGTACTGGCTGCTGTGATTGGCTAATATGATTCAATCTGAAGAACAAGTTTAGAAGAAAAACAGCACGTGCATCGAGTAATGCGATGTACTGGCTGCTGTGATTGGCTAACATGATTCAATCTGAAGAACAAGTTTAGAAGAAAAATAGCACGTGCATCGAGTAATGCGATGTACTGGCTGCTATGATTGGCTAATATGATTCAATCTGAAGAACAAGTTTAGAAGAAAAACAGCACGTGCATCGAGTAATGCGATGTACTGGCTGCTGTGATTGGCTAACATGATTCAATCTGAAGAACAAGTTTAGAAGAAAAATAGCACGTGCATCGAGTAATGCGATGTACTGGCTGCTATGATTGGCTAATATGATCCAATCTGAAGAACAAGTTTGGAAGAAAAACAGCACGTGCATCGAGTAATGCGATGTACTGGCTGCTGTGACTGGGCATAAAGAATTTAATGCTCGTCGGCGACACGCTCTGATAATTTGGCACCAGGTTTTATAGATCAGAAGGTTAATGGACAGATGAGCTTGTCTTGCGCGAGCTCGAATATCAACGCGGTCGATTAAATAAAATATTGATGACGTCAAAAGGTACATCGTTATTCATGAGAATAAAATATACCAGTTACTTGAATATAAAGATATTATAAAATTATTTCGCGTATCACACTAGGTTAAATATCTGGAATATTATTTATAAAAATAATTACGTTAAATAATTTGTTAATAATAATATCAATATTTCAGGACCTTAACTGAATTTTCATAGTATTACAATCTTTGGAAGTATTGTATTTGAAAACATTGTGGATTGCAAATCATTCGATAATCAAAAAAAGTCGAAGCATTTGCATTAAATCTACCATGTGCCCAAGAATAAGCATTTTGAGTTGACTCTAAATCCGAAGACATACCAAATTTATCGCATCTTGTCACAGAAGCTAAGCGATGCCTGTAGGATATCGTCAGTTAGACTACAATACATTTATATTGTAATTTTTTATTGTTTTTTATACAGTAAAAAATGTTAAACACGTTTGAACTACATATATAGGAACCTACCAATAACAGCGAAGTTGCAGTAGACGATGGTGACGATGCACAGGACGTGTATGCTGCCGTACAGGTTGGTGAAGACGATGTGTTGCACCGGAGATTCGTCCCACAGGACGTGTGTGTTGACGAAGCACCAGGACCCGGGGTATTGTAGGGCATACTGGCCTACCCCGAACAGAGGCATGGCGCACAGCAGCACGCCGAACAGCCAGATGCCCAGCAGCAGCAGTCTGCAGAGGGTATATGGCGAGAAAATCATGGAGACTGCAGAGGGTATATGGTGAGAAATTCGTGAAGTCTGCAGAGCGTATATGGTGAGAAATTCATGAAGTCTGCAGAGGGTATATGGTGAGAAGTTCATGAAGTCTGCAGAGCGTATATGGTGAGAAATTCATGAAGTCTGCAGAGGGTATATGGTGAGAAATTCATGAAGTCTGCAAAGGGTATATGGTGAGAAATTCATGAAGTCTGCAGAGCGTATATGGTGAGAAATTTGTGAAGTCTGCAGAGGATATCAGGCGAGAAATTCATGAAGTCAGCAGAGGGTATAAGGTGAGAAATTCATGAAGTCTGCAGAGGATATAAGGTGAGAAATTCATGAAGTCTGCAGAGGGTATAAGGTGAGAAATTCATGAAGTCTGCAGAGGGTATAAGGCGAGAAATTCATGAAGTCTACAGGGGGTATAAGGTGAGAAATTCATGTAGTCTGCAGAGGATATAAGGCGAGAAATTCATGAAGTCTGCAGAGGGTATAAGGCGAGAAATTCAGTCTGCAGAGGGTATAAGGTGAGAAATTCATGAAGTCTGCAGAGGGTATGAGGTGAGAAATTCATGAAGTCTGCAGAGGGTATAAGGTGAGAAATTCATGAAGTCTGCAGAGGGTATGAGGTGAGAAATTTATGAAGTCTGCAGTGGGTATATGGTGAGAAATTCGTGAAGTCTGAAGGGCGTGTAAGGTGAAAAATTCGTGAAGTCTGCAGAGCGTATATGGTGAGAAATTCATGAAGTCTGAAGGGCATGTAAGGTGAGAAATTCATGGAGACTGCAGAGCGTATATGGAGAGAAATTCACGAAGTATGCAGAACACAAAAAACGATAAATTTATTAAGTCTGCATAATAATGAAGACTAGAAATTTATGAAGTCTGCAGAACACACAAACGAGAAATTTAGGAAGTCTGCAGAAAACACAAACGAGAAATTTATGAAGTCTGCAGAAAACACAAAATGGGAAATTTATGAAGTCTGCAGAAAACACAAAACGGGAAATTTATGAAGTCTGCAGAAAACACAAATGAGAAATTTATGAAGTCTGAAGAACAAGCAAAACGAAAAATTTATGAAGTCTGAAGGACATGCAAAACGAGAAATTTATGAAGTCTGAAGAACACGCAAAACGAGAAATGAATGAAGTCTGAAGAACACGCAAAATAATAAATTTATGAAGTCTGAAGAACACACAAAACGAGAAATTTATGAAGTCTGAAGAACACGCAAAACGAGAAATTTATGAAGTCTGAAGAACACGCAAATTGAGAAATTTATGAAGTCTGAAGAACACGCAAAACGAGAAATTTATGAAGTCTGAAGAACACACAAAATGATAAATTTATGAAGTCTGCAGAACAAACAGGAAAAGGTGTTCATAGAGTCTGCTGAGTGATATGTGAGTAGGTAGTAACAGGCTTGGGGGTTACCTGGCACGTGACGTGGTGACGTGCTTGCTGTAATAGTAGCCGTGACGTATGCCGATGTATCGCTCCACCGCCATGGCAGAGACCATGCAGTGCGTCACCAGGCCGATCGTCATCATCGTGAAGCCGTGAAGGTTGCATGCTTCTTTCTGGCCGTCAAAATTTAATAATACTTTTCTATAATTAATACTTTTATATTAAATAATTAATTTTTATATGTTATTTAACCAGAATAATTTAGTTATATGTTAAAGCAGCATAGAGATTAATATCTCCTCAGCCATGTGTGATTAATTAAACACACAGAATTTTTCAATGAAAAAGTTCATTTTAATTTTCATCAATTTTTAATTTTTCGGATCAATTTTCAACCACCGCATCAATACAATGAAGAGCGCAAAAACGTAATAATAATTAACAAACATTTATTCTAAATAAAATAAAATCTTTTTTCAGCCTTGGAAGGTAAAGTTTTATTAGATACTTAATAATTTACCTAATTGCCCATATAACGTAGCAATAATATTTGAAGCACAACAATTGAGGCCTCATCGAGCACCAACTAATGAGCGCTCAGTTAACAAACTTTTACAGGCAAATTCGTCCAAAAAAAGATTGATTTTATATATATTTATTCTGTAATAATTTAGTGCGCCGATATTCGTCAGTTCATCGAGTGCCTTTCAATGCGGAAGTTTTCCCATTAATGGAAAACTGAAATTTTATGCTTTGACCCATTGCACCAGGCGATAGAAATAAAAAATTTCAGCAAAAATAATAATTAGGCTTTAAGTGATTTTGAAACTGCATGGCAACCAAGTTATTTTTTTCTTGTACTATACAGCGAACATATACATCTAGTTCATTATAATGAACCATTATTAAAAATATGCGTCGCTGAATAAATGTTTCCATGCAGAAACCTCTTTTAACTAGCTTGCAATTGGTCTCAATAACATTCAATCTATTGCAAAAAAATTAAATTAAAAATGCTGTTAGATAGAATCATTTCATCTCTCTAAAAGAGCTAATATTTCCAATGCTTTATAGTACATTAGTCTGCACAGGGCGATAGACTATCGCGCAATATAAACGCATTTACAGTTCACATAAATACACATTCTGCTCTTATGGCGCGTGCTGATCATGTTGGTACATGATAATAAAAAAATTAAAAAAGGAGCAGGTTTCTTGCAGCGATTTCATTTGTGCCAGATTTCGTGCAGGCATAAATTCGATAGAACCGAGACAAGCGCTAACAATAGTTTTATAAAAATTTGCATTTGCAGGGAAACCGAGCTGGTCCGGGCGACGATCACGAGGCTCAAGCGAGGATGTTACTTGATTGCTCCTTCAGCTTTTTGCAAAAGAGTTTCTCACACAATCATAGACTTGGAACTCGGAACTTATTCAGAAAACAATCCTCGGTGATGAAGAGCTCGTAAGTGGCACTTATCAGACGCTTCTCAGTGAAGAAAGAACCAGGGTTTAAAAAACACCGATAGTTTCTGATTCGATGCGGATGCAACGACTTTTGAAGGCTGGTTATGGAGCTCAATGAATCAATTTTTCTTCAGTGTAGCACTTCATCAATAAATGAAACACTATTGAACGAATGAAATATCTTTTATTAACTGTGAAATGGCTATTTAAATTTGCTTAAGACTCTAAATGAATAAATGTAAACCACGCTTTATCATGAAAGACTTCACTGCAGAAGGTTAATCGTACATTTAAACTAGTAACTTTGGTTTAAGCTCAGCAAGTCTTTCTCTAACTCTCTTGATACGCATGCCAAGATAGCTGATGTCCGGGCTTAGGGCTCCAGAATTTAGGTCAGCAGCCAGCAGCCGTGCATACAGAAACAGCCGGTGGCCACAACACAAGTTCCAGTCTTGAGCTGGAGTCAGAATTAATAGGAGAGTCTGACCTCTTGTCCGGGGAACAGTTGAGGCAATTCTGCTTCATAACGTCGAAGAGATCGAGCAGCTGTGCCGGCGTTTAGCTTAAACGGAGTCGGCGATTGGCCTTCGTACCGGCGTAGATACGCTACTTTAGTGTCGTGCGTTTAATCAACTTCTGCTCTCTAGCTGCGTTGAATAAACTTTAGTGCCATGCGTTGAAAACAATATAGTACAGTCCGTTTAATAAGTTCATGTTGTGCGTTGAAAAATTTACTTTGAGCGTTGCAGCAACTTTAATGCCGTGCGTCATAGTCCGCTATAAATTTAAATAAAAATCATATCCGTATTGAATATATTAGCCGATAGCCATTCTCTTTACCGTTAGTCCATTGTACGTTAGAAAAATTAGATAATATATTGAATAGTTGCAGCTTCATATGTGATCTTGAAGATATTAATAAAATTTTACGAAACAAAGAATTTTTTTAATTTATTATTTATGAACTAGATTATTTAGTTCAGTGTATTTTCATTAATAATTATTCTAAGTTTATATTATAATGACAGATTAAGTTTCATATATCCAGCACTTCCCGGCCATGATTCAGTGAATTCAGCACAGTTCCCCCCCCCCCCCCGCCAAGCCAGTCACCAAGCACGTAACAAAGATGGTGGCGGGCGGGATTGTTCCTGATATATATACGACAGTAAATAATTGATTGATATAATAATTGAGGTTAAAAACAACCATTATCCAACACAGTGCTCACCCCGCCAAGCCAGTGGCCGTGCACGTAAGCCAAGATGGCAGCGGGTGTGGTTGTCAACTTTCCGATGAGGTCCGTCCAGAGCAGCGTCGACAGCATCACGTAGAACACAGTCCTGTTCTGCTGCTTCGAGCGCCGGTGTAGATAATTCAGAGCCCACACTTGTCCTGTTGTGGTGCAGGAAATTAGGAACGGACGGTAATAAATAAAAGATTACGATTATATATTTTACAACACAGCAAATGCTATTTTGCAGCCAAGAAATTCGGTGAAGTAAATTCAGGGCCCACACTTGTCCTGTTGTGGTGCAGGAAATTGGGAACGAACGGTAATAAATAAAAGGATTACAATAATATATTTTACAAAACAGCAAATGCTATTTTGCTTGAACGAAATTCGGTGAAGTAAATTCAGGGCCGACACTTGTCCTGTTGTGGTTAGTGAAATTAGGAAGGGACGGTAATAAGTAAAAGATTTGATTATAAGAATATCTTTTACAACGCAGTAAATGCAATTTTGCTGCCACGAAATTCGGTGAAGTAAATTCAGGGCCGACACTTGTCCTGTTATGACATAGAACAATGAAGTTGTTACGGGAATAAGTAGAACACTTGATTGTAGAGCATAACAGTTTTGTTACAATGATAAGTACAGTGAATTGTTACGGGGATAATTAGAACATTTGATTGTAGAGCATAACAGTGCACTGGTCAGTTAAATGGCATAGGAAAGAAAAATTGTTGTTAATATTTTACTGAAGGTATATGTTGTAGAACAGAACGCACGCTATTCTTCTGCTTCGAGTGCCGGTGCAGGTAATTTAGGGCCAAAATTTGAGCTGTGATGGCGCAGAAAAATAGAGTTGTTACGGTAATAACCATAAGATTTGATTGTATTATACAACGCTGTATTATATATTGCTTCATTGAAAGCCGGTATAGGTAATGAAGGCATCAATAGTTACAAGGACGGATCAGAAAGTCGTCACGGTAATTAGGAAAGCATAAGATTGCAGAAGTGCATATTGTACAACATATCGCACATTATATTCCCATGTTATGGAAGCCGATGAATATGTACTTCAGTCGGAATACTTGCCAGGCGTTTAAAAAAACGCAAAAATGTGTCGTTAGAAAAAGAACTGTTCACTGAAACAGCACAAATAATTTATTCTGGAATTTTATTTACTAGGCTTCAACAGCTCATATATATCGCGCTGAATTATATTACTCATAAACAAAAATGCCAATGTTGTTTGACTCTCTTAATTAACTTTATTACTAAATGAATTCAAATAGTGACACAAATTGAGAAATGACAATACTAAACATCTGCCGTCGAGTATATATAATTTTTGATAAATACAACTGACAAATTACTTATGATAAAAATGACAGAGACATATAAGGTCGGTCCACAAAAATTATAAGGCCGGTCCACAGTAATTTACACAACGATTTGTCTTCACAGTTCAAAACGTTGCAGATAAAACGTTGCGTGTGGACGGGAAAACTGCGCAGTTTTGAAGCCGGCGGGAAGACTGCACAGTTGCAGCGATATCTGAGCTACAGAGCATAGATTTCGGTGACCTGCGCAGATAAGTCGGAACGTGTAGACGGTAGCACAGTTTTCCGTTTCAATCTGTTCCCAGTTTCATTTAGTCTGGCGACAATGGCGGACCTTCCGCAATGTTCTCGGGAATTTCTCTAGGAATTTATTAATCGATCCGAAAATTGTCCTTGCATTTGGCGAGTAAAATCCAAGGACTATAGTAACAGGGACAAAAAGGTGGAGGCAAATGAGAGTTTAGTAGAAAAATTAAAAGTAATCGATGAAAGAGCAAACAGAGAAACAGTTGTAGAAAATAATAATTTGAGGAGTGTTTATCGCAGGGAATTGGGAAAAAGTAATAAATTGATTCGATTATGAGCTTGAGGTTCATCATGTAATTCGCGCAGTAATGTGATATGGGAAAAATCCTGCATTTTTAGAAGCCACTTCTGCAACCACTTTGAACGCCGGTTACTTCTGTGACGTTCCAATCTTTTTTTAACAAGGTGCAATACCAAAATTGGCGATGTTGCACATCAAAATTGGCTATGTTGCTCATGCAGCTATGGCGATGTTGCACAAAACTGAGCAAACTACACAGATAAGTCGGCACCGTGTGGACGCTATAAAAATTGCAACGATTTCATTCCGCAGACAAATCGTTTTGCAAAACAGAGTGCACTTAGAGAAATGAGTGAGAATTTGTTCACATTGCGATGCACTTATGCTCTTGTGTGAGTCATCCTTACCCAGTTAGTCCTGGCAAAAGCGGTGTAGCTGTGCTACGTCTGCTCTCTATTCGTTCTGTGGCAAGGAAATGTGTATTTGGACAATATTACTCACCGATTTTTCTGAGTGTGTGGATCGGCCTTAAATAGTGTAATCCAGTAAATTTTTGTAACTTTAATTTCTACCGACAAAAGTTTAGAATATAAGATCGCCGCGTTCCAGGGTGTCCCGGGGTAAAAAATCATCACCAATGCGTCATAAAACGAACACCGAAGCGAGACTTGCATTATAAACGCGGTCGTAAATTTCCACACAATTTCTTGGGTCACGAAGCAAAAGTTTTGTTTTAGTGTCGATAAAAAGCACAATTAAGAACGCCTGTAAACACAGAAGGGCATGTAACTGTGGACCAAAAACCACTTCCATACCGTGATAAGATCTGCCGCGTATTTACTTGCTGAATAATTAAAATTCAAAGTAAAATTGAAAAATATACACCTAACTTGAACAGATTTCAATATTGATAATCGGAATAACCACGATAAATAATAACAATTATATCGGCTGCACCGGAGAAGGCTATTTGCAATTGCATGGATAATATCATGAAACTATTAGCTATTAAAATTCACCAGCTCCATTGAATAGTTCCATCGAAAAAATGACGTTGGATTATTTATTAAGTTTCACTCTAGACCTTCAAAGCATCTCGTGCATGCGCTCCAATTCTAAATAAAAATTTGTTGGTTTCCAGGGAAATATTTTCTTCAAATTTCAAATGCGCCGAGATCCATTAATTTGATAGGAATTCATCTCAATTCATGGAGTGATCTTGCGTCCCCAGTTGCGTCGATAGAATACTTCCTGGTTCACAGTTGAGAAGAACGTCTCTCCCAAGAGTTGGATGATTAAAGGACTTCGAGACTAATGAACTCTCTACAGGAGCTATTGCATTGATAAGATTGAATGTTCCGAGTGGCAGAGATTAATTGAGTGGTGAAGTTGTTTATCTGCGTTGCCACACTCTTCCGGCGTCAGAGCAAAATGAAATGAACGAGGCAAAAGTCACTATTATAAGCCAATCCATTTGTTGGCGCTAAATGCAATGTGCAGGCCGCAGGAAGAGAAGAGCTGAGTTTACAGTCTGCGTTTCAGAAGATGACAGATGATGGACAGAGTGTCGCAGCAAAAAAATCTCAAATTTCAGTGATTCATGTGGACAAAGAAAAAACAGATAATATAATAATGGAAATTGATATTTCAATACTTAAGCAAATAAACAAATTTGAAAAAATCCTGGAGATAATCCTTTCAAAAATTGGAGGGATGACTGCCCTTATAAAGTGATTAATAGAATGTATCATATTTTTACTATGTTATTGAATAAAAATATTGTTTTTTTTGTCAATGCAGCAATGAGATGATTGTTAAGAATATCCACTATCAGCAAGAATTTTGTGCATCTTATCTAGCATTTATTATCTGAGACTAATAGCAAGAACGTCAACGTTAATTTAATTTAACCTAAAATCATGCGTATCGCTGGCAAGCAGAATTTCCAAGCCTTCATAGAGTGTGGAGGTTGAGCTGCGGCTCAAGCCAGCGCGACAAGCCATGCCACTTTGATCGCTTCTGTGCATAAGATCTTGCCGGTGTATTTGGTGAAAAAATTAAGCTCTAGATTACATGAGCATGATATCGCATGCGTTGAAAATCATCTCATAAATCCACAGCTATAAGTACATCAGGAAAAAAAGTTTATTAAACCCTGTATGGTTTTCTAAGTGAGTTGTTCATAACTATCATGAAACTTTGAACACTTAAAATTTACATATTCTTGGAAAAATTCTATATTCACATATATTTTCAGGATTCATTCTTATTATGAAATTTAAGTTTAAGAGCGAGCAGAAATTTAATATCCTGCCTAATGTGGTCTTGTTATTTGCTTTAAGAGCGCATGACGAGCAAATCTTGCTATATATTGCGTCGCTGAGGCAGTCGACCAATCAGAGACTTTCTTCCTGAAAGAAATTGCATTCAGAAGACACTACGACACGAAAAAGAATTTATATCATAAGTTTGAGATCACTTTAATGATGCATCATTTATGGCTTAAATCGCAAATTAGCCAGGAACTCGGGAGCAAAGAAATGCTAAATAAATTAATCTCTGAAGATGCAGAGAAAATATCCGGCACTTTCTCTTAAAATTAAATTCTTTGAAAACGAGAATGAAATTGAAGTTTTTGAAATTAAATGAGTTAAATTTAAAATTATATCACTAATATGGGGAATGAGAGGATTGCCCGGCCGTTGCTATTCAAGCTGAAGGGTTGAAAATATGAAAAATGCATATAGGTATTTAGTTTATACTGAAAATGAATTCTTATGATGGGTGACAATAATATGAAGAAAGCCAAACAATATTCCATGCTGATATTGAAAATCGCAGTCTTTAGCCGGGAAAAACAATTAAAGATAATTTGACTCATAATTAAAGTCACAATTAAAGTATCGTTCAAAGGTTACGCGGCAAGGCATGAGTGGATTTTCTTTTGAATCGTAATGTGAGAGCAGGGCTAACTTACATTAATTAATTTAATAATAACACAACATTGACATATAGATTTTTAGTAATGCCATCGAGTCCAAGGCTGGAGGTGTTCATAAATTGCAGAAACCAACTTGTGGAGTGAACATTTCCAGCGATAATAGATATTGTTGCTCTAAAGCATCATTCATTATGTGGCAGCTCGAACTTTTTATTTCAGGTTTTAAAAGTAATATAAGGAATTGCGAAGAGAATTAACTGCGTTAAATTTTAAGTTAAAAAACGCGGGTTTAGTTATATAGTTGCCAGCAACTTATTAGAAGAAACTCCCGCCTATTGACGTAGAATCTTCTCATCATTTCGATTGTATACGATGCTCGGAAGACTAAACGTTCAAACGCATTGTTTCATCTATTGTAATATTCTATTCAATGCAATATTAATATGTATGTAATATTCTGTTATGAGACCGTTGATAATATAATAAACGTTAAAGGTTATACAAAAAGAGAAGCATTGTCCATTTAAATGGGCGTTGGGTGTTTGCCATTACTATTTGTATTTAATTACAAATGGAAAGTGCACCTTCTAATTAATGCATTACTAGTTAATTTCACTCGAGAGTATAATTATAACTTGTTCTTGATTATCCTCGTGCATGTGACTAAATATTCTTAACGGTGTACACACTTGAAGGAAATCGCGAACATTGGAGCAGGGAACTTCAACTAAAAATAAAAAGGCCTTCAATGTTTTCGGAGCGTTGACTTTTGATGCTCATCACAACAAATTACAGGTGCAAGACGCCCTCTGACTTGATAAGTTGAGATGCCTTTTGACTTGATAGGTTAGGGGATTCTTGACTTGATGGGGTGACTCAACAAAGCCTTTGATGTATCGTTGCAAGTGTAGGAAAATAATCGGACTAGGACGGGGAGAAACGTACCCTGTTTGATATGAAAAATTTCTCTCTTCAGTGTATTAGGCATAAGTTTCATCAAGCAAATTCCACCATGACTCTCAACCTAAAAAAAGTATGAAATTGAAATCATTTATTCGTGAGTATTTTGCGTTTATAATAGTGCAAAGATGAATTTGTCATTTAGCATTCTATATTCAAATAAAACTTAAAGTCTTTCGATAAGAAGGTGGAGATAAAAGCTCATTTTACTCAGTCGTTTTCAACGTTCTCACAATACCTTATAAAATTCCAGAGTGGTTTCTTATTCTTCTAAGCCAAGAGATAGACGCGGGGCCTGCCCTATAAAACTAAGCGTAAATATGCGGCGTAAATCCGGGGAGCGTGCAGCCTGGCGATCTCAGATAAGAGTAATTAAAAACGGATTTACCTTTGATTCGTGAGAAAACATAGCATAAGAAATGGTGTTTTTTGCTGTTTTCTTTGCTTTTAAATTCGTGAAAAGACAAATTTCATAATAAATACTTGTATAATAACCCTCGCGCTCTTATTTTGCAAGTGAAAGGAAATATATATGCGATAAAATTATTAAAGATTTTTTAGTTATTTTTTTCAATCATATGATAAACCAAAGAACTGCTGGATCGAGATTTCTTCTATAATTGCCACTAAAACTGGAGTGGTTCATGTTCTTCAATCTAAATTTTCCTATTATATATATAGAGAAACGTTTGAGGTTGTTGTTTGAACTAAAACAAATGTTTGTTTGAACTGCAAACTACTTACTCATTAAATAACATCAAACCACGCACAAATTCTTTATACCTTGCATAACTGCATATATGACTCAACACCTTCCGTGTTTCTAATTTAAGTCCCAAGAAAGAAAAGCCAGATAACGGCAGTGAAATCATCTCTATGGCTGCAGTTGGTGAGAGAGTTTTTGGCAAGTGGGATTTCAAATATGATCGGCTGTGACATCAGCGATCGACGAAGCACGAGTGTCTGCGTTAGCGACGACTCCGCTGCGGTCAAAATTCCCGACCTCCTCCGTGGAATGTTTTGAGGCCTGATCGACTTATCGTATCTAAACTAACTCTTCACTAGCCGCCCGGAATCGGAGACTCCTCTTCACTGCACTGTTATGGGACCGAAGCTCCACATTGGTCGTGTCTTCGCAACCCACGGCAATTCGGGCAAAATGGAAAGGCGTAACTCTTTGTCGAGGATTATGTTGGGTCCGAATATCATAAGCCGCTTTACGGCTTGAATTATACTGGAGACGTAGGGCTGATTAAATTATTGATATTTTAGTACCGAAACAGATGGTACAAATTGATTTTCAAATGGATCTCAATAATTGGAAAAGAGAACCATCAATAACTGATAACTAATATATTGAACTGATTTCTGACGTCTAATAAATCTGTAAGTGATGATAAACTCGCCTAAATTGCAACAGATATGAAAATAACTCCCATTTATTAAATTTAATTGTAATTAATTATTTTACGTTGTAGAAGCCGCATAAAGACGTATTAATGACGTCATCCACCTCATGCTTCCATCTGGCCCCGCATTGAACGAAAATTGGCGGAATTCATGCAACCTTATTTTTGATCCACCCCTGCACACGTGGTCAATGCAATAAACTTGTTTCGCGTTCTGAATGTTTAATTTTTTCGTCACAATTTTCGTTATCTCCTGGCACGATTAGCCAAAAACTCTTCATGCAGCAGCAGAATTAAGTTGCAGGATGGCACTTCCTTCCAGAATAAAGAAAAAAATTCCGTAAAGGTTCTGGCGTAACGTTACTGCATGGCGCCTCCAGCTGACGTGCTAGGTCAGACAACAAAACGACCTCGAAACATTTAATCTTGAGAACGTATATAATTTTCCAGTAAATGAGAGTAGAGTTACGACGAGAAAATGCTTTTATAAGAAAAGACTTCATTACGTTCAAAATGTGTGTATCGAAATGATCAGGTAAGTTTGTTTATCCAATACAGATAAAAAACTCAACCACACTTTGAATAGTCCTGCATTAATATCAACAGAATTTTTGATCGTATTTCATTATTTGAAAACCAATCAGTGGACGTAAATTGTTTTTAACGGAAAATTTGAGAGAAAATCCCGCTCAGATGGCGACGGTATTCGATGAATTAAAAGAGTTTATTATTTAAAAGCAAATTGGACAGTAAAACCACGTCCCATAGTCATGTAAATCAAGTCATTCGAGATCTTAACGTCACTCAGGGGAGCAAACTACACTTCGACGTCGGCATCTCTGAGATCGAAATAGAACGAGAGGCTTAAAACGAAATTACGAAAGTTTACAACGATAAATAATTGTTAATACCGTAATAATGATACATAATAGCAATAAATCGTTGAATACTTACATCATATCTTGCTATTTGTCATTGGAATTCTCATCTAATAAATAATAGATTAAGCATAATTTTAGCACATCATTTATCACCCGCGGAACACATTACAATGAAACTAAAGACAATTGTCAACACTAATGAAAATAATCTTGTATGCAGTATATATTTGTCATAGTGTGAGGGTTAGAGCAACAATGTGTAGCGGCTGCTGTTGCTTCAGCAGCCGCTACACATTCAGGTTGCTTTAATCGTGTCGCGATATTACCTGGACCTGAAAATGTATTTTTACTGTGATAATAGAAAGAAATCGTAAAATTGGGAGAGAGGGACAGGATACAAAATTGAACATTCCATTTTCAAATTGCACAAACATATCTAATTTAAATGCACTTTTTCATATTTTCAAGTGAAAGTCAGATAAAGGTTTTCTTCAAAGGCATACATTGGTTTTATTATTACTGACGGGATTAAAGATAGTGGGATTGAAATGACTAGGGTTAGCGATCTCGGTCACCGCGGGCCTAACCTGTTAGTAGTAGATAGATTCAACAATGGTCGACACTACGTAGCGACATTAATAGACAGTATAGCCAATTATACACTCTAAAAATATTATAGTAGGAAAATTACTTGACATCATTTTCAACTCCAGTGAGATAGAGAAGCAGCGGTGAGATGATCGCGTCGCTGATGTGTTGGACACTGCAGTCATGAAAAAATTTACAGAAATAAACACTACTGACAACAATAGTGCCTATTGATAGAGTATATAGATATAGACACTACTGAGAACAACAGTGCCTATTAATAGGGGATCTAGAAATACATAATTGAAAAAACTAGATAATTTTATTACCGATAACCCCAGTGAGGCAGAGGAGCAGCGGTGAGACGACCGTGGCCCCAGGCTGCTGGGCCAGGACGGTACAGTTGACGCCCGCCTCGCAGGCGATGGTCAGGACTGTATCGGTCATGATGGTGACAAATGGGCCCCGGTACAGTGATTGACTGTGCGTCTGTCGGGCTAGTTGGGCTGCAGACAAATAATGAGCGGCGTAAGATGTATGAAAAAATTGTGAGAATTTGGAAGCAGATTTTACCAGTAAAACTCGCGGTATCAATGGTGCAGCATTAATACAACAATAAATTAAAAGTGTTACTGCTAATTTGGGATCAGGGGGTATACAGGCTTATAAAAATGCAGTCGGTTGAAGTCTGCTGGCATCTCACTAAAAAAGATAAAAAATTTTAGTTACCACGCCATCCATTGAGCACTGTTCAAATTTTCTATCCGAGGTACAAATAGAGTCGGACAGATCGTGAATACGCCATTGTACAGAAAAGTTAATGAACTGATCTTTCAGCAATGAAATTTGAAACGTAGTTGAATCACTTTATTCCATTGTGATGTGAAAACATTCTATGACCTCACATTCAGGCAGTGGCAAAAGGAAATGGAAAAATAAAATGTAATTTCGAATGTGTGGATTTGATGAAACTCACGAGTGACATTAATAAAACATGACCAATGGCCACAAGGCAAAAAAGATTGCATTAATGAAACTATCAATTTTGCAGTGCAGACAATCATTTATTCAAATTATATATCGTACTTACAACAAATCTATCGAAGCAAGGTGACTCATGACTCAATTCAGCGCCCCTAGAGAATAATATATATTATGTGAAGACATAACACGTTGTTTATAGATTTCTTTCTACCCGTGAAAGCACGGAGCATATCTCGAACAGTTAATCATGATGATGTATTTATTTGATTTAATGATGCTAGTTTGATGATAACGACAAGTATATTTCAAACTTGCGCTTTTGATGAATGGAAGTTTGGGGGCGATGTCTGTTATGGAAATTGCTGTCCAGTGGACGATCATAAATAAGTTTAAAAATTACTCCTAATTAATTTGCTTTGTTCTGGAACAAAGCAAGCTGCAAAGTGCGTATAGCGTTTGCTCCATGACTACGGAAATGCGAATGGTTAAATTCGACGTTGTTGTCCAGCTGCCTTAAAGTCAATTCATTAAGCTGAAGAAAAACTATCGGTCGCCAAACGCTGATGAAAAACCGAGTTAATTGACCGGATTGGCGGAGGCCAATTTACGGTTGGAGTTCACCGAACCATAAGTTCGAAGCATTTGCAAGAAGCAACAGTTAATTTTTTCAAATTAAAATAGAACATTGACCAGAGTATGCATAAGTGAACAAATAATAGTTAATAATGTTTAAAAAAAATGAAGCGACACGCTTTTTGGGGATCAAAGAAAATCAGGGTTGTTGAGCATCGCCGTAATTGCACGATAATCCTTACGAATTAGATAAAAATAACTCAAAAAGAATCAGAAAGTAAAGAACAATTCTAAAATTGCTATATTGTTTTAATTTATTCGTTGGAACATTAATTGGTATTCAGAGCTGGGCAGCGCTACTTTGAAATGCAGCGGCGCTATCGCTACCGTTACATGCTCCAAATGTAGCGGGCGCTACCGCTACCGCTACATCCACTAGATTGTAGCGAGTGCTACCGCTACAGTAAAATGTAGCGCCGCTACATTAGCCACTACAATGGCGAAATTGATTGAAAATCTCTAAATATTCATTGTTCTGATATTGGGATTTACTCATAAACATTTAATGAACATTTTCAAAACATATCAATGCAACTTTAATGCAATTAACCTAACTGAACTAGTACGGGTAAGATACAGTAAATAAAAGTTACAGTAATTTTTATGTTTTACCTTCCCTACATGGATGTGTACTTTAATCTACCAATCTAAAAAATTTTCCACATATACATATAAAAAATCAGTCTTTTATTTATATATATAGGTGGATTATTTTTGAGATTGGTAGATTAAAGTAGACATCCATGTAGGGAAGGTGAAACATAAAAATTACTGTAAAAATAACTGTAATTAAACTGAAACATGAAAAAATACCTGTAAGTGGTAACTGGTAGCAACTTAACAAGTAACAACTAACATGTTGATACTAGTGACAGGCTGAGGTTGACAACATTACACCGAAAACCTTCGTACAGTTTTATTCTGTAATTTATATTATGTATGTATCATGCTGGTTTTTAAATAGTATTTAATACTATCAGGCAAAATCTAAAGGCTTTATCTATAAATGTAGCGGTAGCGCTGTAGGGGCAAAACCTCGTATCGCTACTCAAATATGTAGCGGGCGCTAACGCTACCGCTACATTGCCTTAAATGTAGCGCCGCTACCGCTACCGAAAATGTAGCGGCCGCTAGTAGCGGCCGCTACATGTAGCGCGCTACTGTCCACCTCTGTTGGTATTGCAGCATTGCAAATGCCGAGTCTAGTTCTTACAGAAGTTAATCAATGAATATATTTTCATACACGGAGCATTATTTTACTAATTTTATTTACCGTAGTCATTTGACTCACCTTATTTTACCTTAGTAATTTGACTTACCTTATTTACCTATGCAATTTGACTAACCTTATTAGTGACTAACCTTAGTTACTTAGTGACTAACCTTAGTCATTTGACTTACCCTATTTTACCATATTTATTAGACTCGCCCTATTTTACTATAATAATTCGACCAACCTTATTTATCTGAGTAATTCGACTAACCGTATTTTATCTGAATAATTCGGCAACCTTATTTTATCTGAGTAATTCGACTAACTTTATTTACTTTAGTAATTTGACTTGCCTTATTTTACTTTAGTAATTTGACTTACCTAATTTTACCTTACTAATTTAACTTACCTTACCTGTTAGTTTGTAGCAAATTACTGGGAAAAAACGAAGCTCAGCTACTCGAAAGTTAAATTCCAATGGCATTGCAAATATTTTGCTGTTTTTCTTCAAAAAAAATCAACATTACATCGCAGAAATTGTAAATAATTATGCCCAACCTGGGTGCAGAGTATCAAGTTGCATTTGTAACTTTGAGAAGCGACCTTCAAGTTTAAAATATTCCCCACAAGTTTGACCAATTTGCTGGAGAATTTATTGCGGGATTTGCTCACAACGAAGAAAGCTGTCCTTCTGCGAGGCAAAAGCGGCATATTTTCTCTTACGAATCGGCAGTGCAGAAACAAACGCTCGGGTGCGCAAATATCGGATAAAGTCAGTTTAATGTCTGAAGGAACAAGCATGGACGCGTGCGGCGTCTATGAAGCGTCAGGCACGCGGTATTAGAGCCGGTGTCTTAGATGACACTTGTGAAAATAGTGTAGCTGAGGAAAAAACGGCAAATAATTGTCCATTTGAAATATGTATTATTGTTCACAGTATCGAAGATATTATCTAGTTTGGAAAAAAACGGTAGTGATTACCCACTTGAATAATGTTTTCACAGACTTAAACACATGTACCTTATTATTTGAAAACTATGAGAATAAATTTTAATCGGCGAATACGCCATTGTTACTGGAACTATACTAACTATACTGGGCCCATACTTTCAAAAAAAGTTAAGAGATCGTAAGTTCATCAGCCAATCATTGACGGTCTTTCAAGCAAAATCCACCAATCATAGACAAGAAAATAGAGCGCAAGTACTTACGTTCACTTAGCGAGTTTTAAAAGTATGGCCTCTGGACGCTAAACCATTGCTCAGGATGAGACGACGCAAGGCAACTTGAGCGAACTCTGTATTTTGTTCTCGAATTAGTACAGCTGATCGTCATAATGGAGATCAATTTTTTAGTAAGATATAAAATATTTTTTATAAGATTTGTATAAGATGTTTTCCATTTAAATAATATCAATAGTTGTAGTAGTCCTAAGCCATAAATGCATGTCGAGGGAACAAATTGTGAAATGTGATTAATGAGATAATCATCGTTAATTCAGTGGACAATTAATTTGAAGATCTTCAGTACCTAAAGCACGGATTACTAGTCACTTTCTGCTAAAAAATAACAGATAGAATAATTGAGTAAGATCTTCCTCCTTTAGGTTGACGTAAGATGCACCCAATGCAAGGAATTTTATTGGAAAATTGAATAATAACTTGAGCCGAGCCTGTAGCAACGTTTGGATCACATTGAAATCCCCAAAAAATACTTATTTGAGATGAAAGTGAAGCAGATTATGCAAATTATTTTCAGAGTTTTGATGAAACGCCACTTCGTGATCCAACGTCGAATAAAACATTTTTATTTTTGTTGAACTTTTCCGTAGAGAAGATACCAGAGCAGGCTGGGCCAGAGGAGCGATAAGACTTTCTTCTCAGAAATAGAAGGGACTATTTATTTATCTTTCTCGCCATGGCGATAGAGGAAGACATAATTTGCCTCGCAATCTCCAGTCTGGATACCGAGAAAAACCTTAAAATTTCCCTAAATAATTGAAAATAAATAATCGGAATAATAGGTAAGAGTTGCTGGAAAAAACATTCAAAGTATCCCAAATTGTTCCTTGCGAATAAACACTCGCAATTTCCCAAACTTTTTAGAACGAACAATCGTAGTCAGCAAAGTTGTTGAGAATAAATACTCTAAGCCATTTGTATTGTTGAGAATCACTAACGGAATTTCCCGAACTGTTGTGTCTTCGGTTGGAGAGTAATGTAATCCTAAGCAGATTTGTATCGAGCAGCCGGTGCTTTCTTCTTGGTTTTGCACAAATCGTCGCAGGATTCACTGGGACAATATCTCACTGCTTTTGTGTTACTTTACAGCATCTATAATGAATAAATGGGGGATATTCTAAATGGGATCTACATATACATAATATGCGTTTAAAAGTTACTTTTTGAAGAAAACGCTTCTAAAAAAGCTAGTGTCTTTGATGTTACACATGTAAAATGAATTTTTAATTTTATTTTCAATTATTAAAATAAATTAATTTTTAATTTTTTTAATATACAAAAATTTTGTATGTTTTCCAAATTATTTATTCTGCCAACTGATTCATGCATTGTCTCTGACTTAATGCAAGTGTGCAAAATTTCAGATCGATTGGACAGGTAGAAATGTGTTAAATATCGATTACAATATTTGTAGCAGACAAACAAACGAACAAAC